GTGTTTTGCTTGGCAATAGGCAGAACTAGGCATTGGCATGTAGCTCAGGAACCGGGGAGTGAGGCTTTGTCTGCATACGTTTTGGCATGGAGAAAAAAGATGCTATCTATGAGCTGGTGAGGTCACAGACAAATACGGATGTGGGTGGAAATGTTAGAAATATGGCGGCAAGAGAAGATAGAAAAATGCAAGAGACTTGAATTTTTTTCTCCCCCAAGGCTAGAAGTTTAAATTTCCTTAAACCGAGCGTGACAGTCTGCAGAGGATTTTAATAATGTGACAGTAATACACTCCCGATAACAAAACGTGAAGGCAATCTTGGTAGAGTACAGCAGCAGGGCTGCACGTTGGCCACTAGAGAGCAATAGATAACTAGTAGTTGTGCGCCTGCAAAATCCAAGCCCCCTATAGCCATGTAACGCTTTTAAAAATACAGATGCAGAAATTAACATCATAATGTAAAATTACCCTTTTGACTCTTTTTAATAGTCCTAACGCCCTCCAATCACACAAAATAGCAGGAGGGAGCACGCTGGTAATTAGCAACAACCCGTATTTAAAGAAGCCTCTAGAATGCATCATATAATGTATGCACTTTGCTTAGCCACATGCAGTATTAAGATCACCTGCAGAAATACAGAGCCAGAGCTAAGCTGGCTCCTCCTTCAGTCTCAAAGTCCAAGCCTGCATTATGAGGACTGGGAAACCTTCAGAATTGAAACTTTTTTTGCTACTATTTTCAATTCTGCATATCGACACTGTATGCAATTTGTGCTTGCACATTTCAGAAAACAAACCGTGCATTTTTCTTTCCTAAGTGCTATGAATGCTTTCAAAGTAGTATATTTTCACCCTGGAAGCCAAAATGTTCCACTCAACATCATTCAGATCTACAAAATGCATTTACATAATATATACCCCAAAGAAGCTCGCTCTTCTCCATTCCCAGAGTTCATTAGACTTTGCTATTGCATTTTTGCAGCCTATAGTGAATAAACACATCTACCTGACTATTGTTATGATAGTGTGTCCTGAAGTGGGGTAGGAGAAGCTGCTATGTTACTGCAGTGGCTAAGAGAGAAATTCTGTATGTCTTGAAAAAGCATCCTTTCTCATTTTCAACACAGGTTATCACGCTGGTGTTCTTGGGTTTTCAAGTACATTGCTTTTTTACTTCTTTAGGAGAGCCTGTGAATTTGGTAAGCAAAGCTGTTCCAAGAAAAACTCTTAGTGCACCCATTAATCTTGTAGCCCATTTACTCACCCTCTTTATTCTCTTTCCTCCTGAGCCTTGTCCAAACACAGCTGTTTCATAATTTTGCAGTTGAGCTGCAAAGCTGAAGCTCTACAGCAGCAATTGTCTACCTGTGGCTCTTATGGCTATACAAGCCACGATCAGCTTTTCATGTTATATTGTTAGAGGGTGACAAGAAATTCAGGCTGACAACGGGACCAGCAGCAGCAGAGTAATCGTCATGAATTCCTAGCATGTGGGTGTTCTACAGTGCATGACAGAACTAGACTCAGAGTGGATAGCAATGGTGCAAAGGATGCAGGGAGGGCTTCGTGTCTTTGCTGTGGAAACTAAGACCCACTGTGAAGTAAAACAGGCTACTTGATTGGATGCTGCTTCTATTTGCCAATTAGTAGCATTACCACCAGCATCTCCTACTTGGGTAACAACCCTTACCACTTAGTGAGGATTCTTCCTTTAGGTCCTCAGCAATTGCCTAACTAGCCCTGCAGGGCGGGTGAGTCACAGGACAAACTGAGAAGAAGAGCTGGGAATTGAGAGGTCACTAAAGTAGACTGGCAAATGGCAAACACAAAAGGAGTTACAAGGTGGTAAGTGCAGCAGAATTACTCCCTCTCTGGTAGTCTAAATAGGTTCAGGGATGAAGCCTAAACAAGAAAGAGGAGCTGTGACCTGATCTGATTGCGTCTGACTCATCTTTGCAGGAAGCATTCACATCACAAGGAAAGGAAATGGAGTAGCTTTGAAGGCAAGTTTAGAAAAAGCAGGGAAGGGACTGAATTTGCGTAGCTGGAAAACACTGAGGAAGATGCAAATTGACTCTCAAGCTTTCCATAACAAAGCCTCTTCTGAATGACGTTGTTTAGTCTGTCCTTATTTAAACACTGAACAATCTATTTGCATTTGTTACAGGCAATTACCTTTCTAACTTCAGAGCAGGCTAGCTAGACATATCTAAGAAAGAGCAGTAAAAGTGCTTTATAAGTGCTTTGTATCAGATAACTGATTCCATTTTAGGGATATGAAGACTATTTGTCACACTTTGGACTGTTTCAGATACAGAGAGATGAGCTGCAAAAATAACTAGCAAACTATTTATTGACTCATGAATTTTGTTTCAGAATATTATCTTTTATTTTAGGAATGTTTCTAATTTTGCTGGTTTTGAAGAAAACAATCTGCTAAGTGTAGCTCACTGTTACAAAATTTCCAACTGGCTCGAGCAGATCAAGAGAGGTTAGGAATCAAAGTACAGAATTATAGGGGTAAATATTTATTCACGAGCACAAGATGTCCCAGCCAAACTGGGTCACCATGAATGTGATTTTTACACCCTTCAACCATTCAGGTACAACATAACTTGTCTAATTACTAAGACTCACACTACCCTAACCCTAATCATAGTGAAAGTTGCAAAGCAGCTGTATTTCTGCTTGTGTTTCTGCTTGTGTTCCTGCTCCTTGCCTATTCATTCAGACGTTCCTGGAGTCAGTCTTGCAAGAGTTACTTATCTATAATGCCAGAGAACAATGCGAGGGTTACAAAGATGTTTTAGAGGGGTTAAGATGCTGTCTTTATCTGCTTGTCCATGGGTATCCTTTATCCTTTGGGGACAGTTCCCTGCTTCCAAGAAACAAAGTCCTTATTTCCAGGGCTGGGCTTTTAGTTTGTTTTAGATGAGCATGAACAATATCAAAGCCTCCAGTAAAATTCACTACCTCATTTGCAGTGTATAATGTGAAACAATACATATGAACAAAGTTAATACACTTCCGTATTATAAAGACTGACATAAGAGTTGGGAAAGTGAATTTTCATAACATCCCATAATCACCTTTTCAGAGTAGCTGACCAAAATCAGTAAGTGCAAATTGTACCTGGTGGCTTTCATGGGACTCACATACACAGCTCTCACTCTTTACATTACAATGTACACACATGATTTTTAGCCCTTTGTTATATCATTGTTTTTTCAGACAGAAGCTTATTTAGTTGTTCCTTACATGGAAGTTAAGAGCAAAGTACCTTTGATCATCCTTTTTACCTTTCATTGAACCTTTCCCACTCCTATTCTGTCTTTCCTGAGCTGAGGGAACCCAGAACCACTAACAGCTTTCAAGATGTGGTCAGATAATGAAATTACACAGCTGCATAAGGATGCTTTGTTCTCTGCTCCTTTTCAAATCCCAGGATACAGCTCATTTTTCTGAACTTTATTAAGCACTGAAGTGAGATTTGCACAGAAATATATTGCAATTCCAAGATTTTGCTCTTGCACAGAACTAGTTATCTTGGAGCTCATAATTTGTATTTCAAGTTAGGTTGTTCTTCTCCAGAGTGCATCGCTTCTCTATCCAAAACACAATCTGTCATTTTACTGCCTAGTAAATACTTCTGCAGATCTTCAGTGACCTTTTCTCCTTAAGCCACTGAATAGCTTCATGTATCATCAGAAAGCTGTCACTTGAGTGACTAGCTCCTTTCCCACATCACTTGCAAGCATGTTAAGCAGGTCCAAGCAGGGACTGCTACAACAGTGTACCTGTGATGTCTATACTACAAGTACCACACACTACCTCCCACCTCCTGTGCTCTGTCTTTAACCAGTTATTAATTCCAAGACATTTGGTCTTACGCCATTACTGCTAAGTTTCTTTGACAGTCTTTGCCAAAAGCTTTCTAATCCCAATGGGCTTTATCAGCCAGAAGACTTTCTTCACAGACTTTAAAAATGTCCAATAAACTACAGTGTTCCAAAGAATGCTGTTAACTCTGCTGATCAATACATGTAACAGGCTGAGGGCAGAATCTCATTTTGGAACTAAGAAATCCATAGCTGAGCAGGTTGTTTTACCCCAGACTTCCCTGTATGATAGCTTTAGCTCTCCCTTTCCTTTTTCTGTGACCTGAAGAGGCCATTCCAAAATCCGAGATCCCTGAAGATCCTTGCTTGTGTGTAGACAATAGTAAGGATTGCTCAAGTCCCGTTTCCAACTATTCCAGTGCAGAACTGATTGGAAGTTGTAACTTGCTCATGATTCCTCTTATCACAGAGAAATCCATGCTAATGGAACAGTCAACAAAACAGAGTTTAACTTGAAGGCATGTGCCAAAATACGCTATTTTACAGACGCCACCCGGAAAGACTTTGAGCCCCCTGTTAAATGTGGTTTTCTTTTTAAGCAGAGTGGTTAAATACTTCAATGACATTAAAGGTACTTTTAGAGGGCAAGATGCTAGCAGTTAAAATCCTTCTTCCTCCCTTTGAATTTGACTAAGAACAGTTTATTTAACAGGAAATTTGGATTTTATAGGAAGCATCTGAAAATACACAACTGCTACGTCATCGTACTACAGAACTGAGCAATCCACGCGTCATATCTGCCCACACCATGGGCTAGTTAAAACACGGTGGTACCGAGGGGAGTGTAGAGACATTATTGGCAACAACCGCTCTTCCTTCCGCCTGCTGTCCTGTCAGAACCCTTGAGGCACAGCCACCAGGCAACAACCCGATGGTGCACATCATGTATACCCTCGCCTGCACCTCGCAGGTGCCTCAGCACCAGCCCAGCTTCGTCCCCCAAAGCCCATGCTGTGTCCTCCCGGCCCCACACTGGTAACAGAGGGGCGCACCCCGAGGTGCCAGCTACGCTCTGGAGCCCTCTCCAGCCTACCGCACCGCGCCTGCGCCGCCGCCGCCGCGCCCGGGGCCCTCAGTAGAGCTCTACACGGCGCCGCCGGCGGGAGCCGAGCTGCGGCGCTGGCCAATGGGGTGGCACGGCGCTGCCGTGGCCGCTGAGGTCAGTTCCGTCGCCGCGGTGGGTGGTGGGGCGTGTTGAGGTGGCGGCGGCGGGGGGTTCGCCCGCGCCCTCGCTGGGGTAAGTACCTTAGGGCGAGAGCTGCGGGCCCGGGAGGGTGAGTGTCGGCGTTTTGTGTGCGCCTGGAGACAAGGGGAGCGGTGGCGGGGTCTGCCCCTGATGGAGGCAATCCGCCTATGTCCTCGTCTTCCTCCGAGCCAGGTGAGACTCGCACACCCTCTCCCGGTGCCAACTGGCCTAGCGCCGTGCCTGACGCTGCTTGCTGCCGCCCTGCCCACCAGTGCGGGGGTCCCGGCGTCCTGGCGGAGAGCGCGGGCTGCGGCCCGGCGGGTTGCGCGGTGCTGCCCCCTGCGGGCCGGCGGCGCCACTGCGCGGCGGCGCGGGCGGAGGCGCCACCCCGGCGGCGGCGGGTGGAGGGCTGCGAGGCCTGCGGAGGGTCCGTCGCCCGGCCGGCCGCCTCCACCGGGTCAGCGGCGGCTCTCGGCCTGCGGAGACGGGCCGGAAGCGAGGGAGGCCCCTCTCTGCCCTCCGAGGGGTGGCAGCACGTCTGTGCGGGTGAGCTGGCTGCCCAAGCAAAGGGGATTTTGTGGTGGTGGCTGGCGGGTGCTGCTGTCTCGTGGACGCCATCAGGCTGCTTCAGCCTCTTCTGGACTGTAAAGCTGTTGCCCAGGTTTGTCATCTTGGTCGTCTTCCTGAAGAAAGAAGCTTTCTGGTTAGTAACTTGTGTTATTGGGCAAAACAGAAAAAAAATGTGCTTTGTTTGTAAATTGTGTTCTTCAGGGTATTTGTGTGTAGGATTTGCTTAATTAAATCCTACATTAAATTTTGTTGTAAGAAGATATAACACATTGTTACATTGGACACCTAAGATAATTTAGACGTATAAAACGACTTGGATTTCTTCTAAATAAGTGATCCAGTTTTATAGCCAAAGTGTCCTGAAATATATGTTCGACCAAAAAGTCTGTTTTATTATTAAGAAGACTAATGGTATATTAAGGATTTTGCTAGCATTCTGTTCTATATTGTTACCACGGTAGGTGGTCATGGGCAAGGCCCTTTTCTTGCATATGCAGATAGCATATGGCTAATTCTAGCAAGAATTAAGTCTGTGGAAGTGAATTTTAGCATCCACATGAGTGTTTTGCGAGCTGGGCATGAAGGAATATATAGTTTTAATGGACCTCTCCCTCCTCCTCTCCCATTTTATTCAGTGCCATACTTCTTTGCTTTCTTGCATACAGGCCTTAAAGCTTAGAGTAAGGTGATGCTGAATATTAGTCACTATTGTTTGGATATATAGAAAAATTTTGAAAATGGTTGCAAGTTGAGTGAAACGATGAGATGTGCAGCATAAATTTCAAATTTTATCATACATATAATGTATGTATATGTATGTATACAAGACTGTATAAACATCTCTCTTAAAATATTATTTGTGATACAGTAGTTATTTGAGAATAACTAAGCTTATTGCAAGACCACCAAGCAGTTGAATGGTATGTCAGAAATGTATATCTTTCATATACTGATAAAGCCAAGCATCAGTCCTAGAGCCACAGAGAAGCAGATCTCCATTTCACTGCAATACGTATATGTACCTGCCTTTATACAACAACAATAAATGTCAATAAATTGAACATTTTTTCACCTATGCATTCAGAAAAGTGATCTACTTTTAAACAATATTTTGTTTAACTTTATAAGTAGTAAAGATGTTAAATGTAATATTTCTTTCTGTAGAGTGAAATAAATATATATTTTATAATAAAAGTAAGCTCTAAAAACCTAATGTGTATTCTTTGCTCTTCTTATTTCTCTGCATTGACATTACCCATTCATTTTGATGGAAAAAAATTAAAGTGCACTTAGGATTCAAAGTGTTATGACTGTGATTAGCTGTTATTGTGAAACAGGATGTCTTTTTAAGAAGAAATAATTGTAGATGAAATTTCTTTGATATATTTGAATCTCTTGTTCTTAATACAGAATCAATTCCTTTAATTAGTACTATATATTACACCTGAATGAAGCATTTTGGATGTCTCCCAGTCATTAGGCCTAAAATTAGTGACTGGTACTTGGCCACATAGTTGGATCAGTAGACCAGTTAACTCTGCTTAGTCAGTTGGTGCTAAATGGGCAGTGTATGCTATATATAATGTTATAAAATACAGACAGATAATTTTAAACCTACACAGATTTAAGCTTTCCAGAGACTCAGATTTTACACAATGCATCTTCCTGATGCAGTGGTGCTCAGTGTCTTCCAATCCTGTTTAAGCTTGTTTCTCCTAAGAGATGATTTATATGGGCTTTTCAATACTTGATTGTTGCGACTTGGTTGCTGCTGGCCTTGACTGTTCGATGCAGTTTGTGAACTTAGTGTGTGAGAGGTGTGTGCTTTACCAAAGTCAGGTCTTATTTATTTGGTCACATATGATAAATGCATGATGCTCATCACACCCATTTTATTGATAGTAGTGTAGAATTTGAGATAAAAAGGGAGCTAAACCACTGAAGAATACATATTTTTCTTTGAAATCATGAACAAAGGATTAATATATTTGAAGTAAATGGATATTTCTGGAGTATAGAATAATGGGAAGACAGTGGCAGTTCTTGTCTGGCAGTGGCCACGTCAATGATTTGTAATCTACTGCAGTGCAAAAAACCCTTGTGCTTTATGAATTTGACAGGCTGCAGAGGATGTTTCTTCCTTTTTTTCTTGGGTTTAATTGATCCTTGTTTTCTGACCTTTATGCACATGTGATATCCACTGTTTGGAATGCTTTTTGACTCCTGCAGATCTGTTGATCTCTGTCTTGAGCAGCAAGGTTCAGGATATACTAGTGTGTGAAAGGTGGTAATTTTTTTTTTTTTTAATTAAATGCCCAACTTCTTTACATCACCGCATTGTAGGTGTTTTGTAGGAGGAGTGAGTGAGAAAGGCTGTGTTATCTTCCTTCTGCTGTCCTTTTTCCATGTGCCTCTAAGTTTTGGTTCCAATTTACTTTTTTCCCAAAAAACTACGGCCTGTAAATTTTTAAAATTTCTCCTAATTCAGCTACTTTTATTGTATATCAGAATATTTTTTACAAATTTTTTTGAATCCATTCCTGTAAAAACGGTGACTGGAATTGAGTTTAACATTGCTAGTGTTTCTTACTCCATTCTTCAGCCATACTGAAGCCAAACATTCCCAGTTTGCCATTCAAACTCCTTGCAGACTTTCGGATCTTCCTTTAATGATATCTTTGAATTGGTGTGAGTGCTCTCTATTTGATTGTAACTTGAAAAATGGAGTATGTATCTTTTAATTAGATCTTCTGAAGCATGTCTCTGTTAACTCTTTAAATGACAAAACAAATCTTCAGGGGAATCTCTTTTCTTCCTTCCCATGTAGAATAAATGGATGTTGGATTGGACCACCTCTCTGTATATGCTGATGATCTCATTTTTCTGAAGTAGCAAAAAAACCCCCAAATTTATATATATATATATATATATATAAATTTACAGTGTACTTTTGTGCTTGGTTTATCCCAAATAACGATAAAGTGGACCTATTTGCATAAAATATTTTCTTTTTAACTGTTCAGTGTCCAGGAAGGGTTGGTGAATAACTAGGTGTGAAGACAGCGGAGACGTCACTTCAGCATCAATGGTTATTCAGTTCTTTCTTACCTCGTACTTTGGCTGGCTGGGATAGAGTTAAATTTCTTCACAGCAGCCTGTACAGTGCTGGGTTTTGGATCTGTGGCTAAATCAGTGTTGATAAAACACCGGTGTTTCAGTTGTTGTTGAGCAGTGTTTGCACAATGTCAAGGCTTTCTTTTACCCCCCTCTCTGCCTCCACTGCACTGAGTAGGCATGGGGTGGGCAAGTGACTGGAAGGGCATGCTGCTGGAACAGCCAACTAGAATTGGTCAAGGGGATAGTCCGTGCCATATAATGTCATGCTCAGCAGTGAAAACTGCAAGCAGAGGAAGACTGAGCAGAGGTGGGGGTTGGCTTCCAAGGTTGTTGCTTGGAGACTGGTTAGGCATCTGTCTGCTTGTGGAAGGTGGAGACTGATTTCCTTTGCATAACCTCTCCGCCTCTTTCTGTCACCTATTAAACTGCCTTTGTCCTGACCCATAAGCTTTCTCACTCTTTTTCTCCAATTCGCTCCCTTAGCTAACCAGGGAAGGGAAGGGAGCCAGCAAGCAGCTGTGTAGCTGCTTGGCTGCTGGCTAAAATCAACCCACTGTACATCTGAAATACAGTTGCAGTAACTCCAGCACTAGAAACCTAGATTCTAGCAACATGGTATTTGTCACAGGTGAGAACTTGCGTTTGGGTTTAAACCATGACAAACCTGTTTGTTTTCACATTCATATATAAAGGTGTTTGAGTCAGTAAAGTTTAGAAATATTACCAGCCTGTTCTTTAAATTACCTCTTAAATTTTCCGAGTATCCTCTTGGACTGAGCAACCCAGATCTTTCTGGTAAACGTTTCACGGTGCTTTTTGTACTTTCCTGCACTTTAAAGGTAGTGGATCCTTTTTCATGTTGTTGCATAAGGTGAAGTTTACAGTGTTAAAAGAATATAAGAAAACTCCATGTGTTTTTAAAACTTTTTTGTGGTCAAGGATTTTGATGGCATAAAGTGCTCTATACTTACCTTTTGATCAGTTCAGAGGGAGGGCAGTTTCAGTATCATTTGATAGCTGTGAACAGCAAAAAAGGCAAATATTGATCTAACTTCACCCTTTCCTTTCAAACACAATTTTAGGTCTTTCTTAAAGCTGTGTAGGAATCTTCAAAGCATCTTTGCTAGGTGCACCTCCTGTTTGAAGACAGACTAAAAAAAGTGGGTTTGTGCAGCCTGCAGAAGAGAAGGCTGCATGGAGACCACATAGCAGCCTTCCAGGTATCTGAAGGGGACCTTCAAGGATGCTGGAGAGAGACTCTTCAGCAGGGACTGTAGTGATAGGACGAGTGGTGGTGGGTTCAAACTGAAATGGGAAATTTAGATGAGATATAAGGAAGAAGTTCTTTACAGTGACAGTGGTGAAGTACTGAACAGGTTGCCCAAGGAAATATGAATGCTTCATCTCTGGCAGTGTTCAAGGCCAGGTTGGACAGGTCCTTGAGCAAAATGGTCTTGGAAGGAGTCCCTGCCCATAGCAGGGGAGTGGAACTAGATGATCTTAAGGTCCTTTCCAACCCTAACCATTCTATGATTCTGTCTTTGGTCTGGATCTTGAGCTAATCAAGATCTCTGTCTTTCTCCTGAGATAAAACAATGGATCTCCTGAACATAGGCTTACCATCGCGCTACTGTGTCAGTAAGGTTCATCTTAAGTCTAAGAAGTGTAGTAGCAGGGAAAGAATGGTCCATCAGAGACTACCAGAAGCATTTGCTTTTTTTTTTCCTCTTTGGAATGTGGGTAATAGAGGGCATAATGTTAGGAACATTAGAATTATTTAAAAACGTGAATCTTCAGATCATGATTGCAGTAGTCATGTGTACTTGCTTTTTTCCCGGGAGGCTGCCAGTGATTTGTTTTTTGGGAAGTAGAGGTTTTGCACATAAAGGTGTACAACTGTCTGCATTGCAATGAGATGAAGTTACTACAGTCTTAAGAACTGCCTACTGAGGAGTTTTACAGGTGTGCAGCCATCCATGTGCTAAAGAGTTGTCCCTAACCAGTTTTCTAACTTAGTTTTTCTGTTATTTGAGGTTACATCGTATGCTTGCTCTTTGCAGAGCCGCATCTTTAGGTCAGCATTCTTATAGCAGTTACTGGCAGATGGAGCACAGGGAGCTGCCAGAAAAGCTTTCTGGATCAGATGCTGACTCCTGTCTCAAGCCACTGGGGAGATGTACCATAGTGTAAATTTTTCTCATTTGTGTAGGATTATTGTAATAGGATGCTGTTTAGGTGATCTCAGTGCTGTACTTTTGGAGCCCAAAACAGGACCTGTTCGCTGTTGATAGACTTGGAGAGGAACTGGATTTCAGAAGCATATGTTTTCTGTAAGATGTATTGAAAACTAAAGGAGTTCTGAAATAACCTCATCAAGTAGGTTCTATACATGAATGTGGATCTGTGCAACATCATGTCTGTAAGTAAGAATGTTTGAATAAGAAAGATGTTGGGCAGATTTTACTTGTTGGTGTTAGTTTTGGACCTTGTATTGGTTTATGTGTTTCTCAGAAGGCTAAGTTAGTGGTTTGTTTTCCAAATAGCAGTGGTCTCATGGTCTTGGCAAAAGCTTAAAGGTTGAGATCTTGTTCATGTTAAATGCAGAAGAGAGACAGTAAGAGTGTTGGAACCTGTGGGGCCAAATATACTGCACTAGTTAATGTGGTGGTCTTACACTGATATTACTGTTCTCCTGCTTCCCACTGCGTTTATTTTGCTTGATTGACACATTCTGTATTATCAGGATGGAGTGAATTATTTATGTGCTTGTCCTCATACAGAGAAGTGATTACACTGTGATATTAATAAAAGTGAAAGTAATTAATTTTGCAGCTGCAGATTATTTTTACTTCATTACTTTCAGAACATGTGAAGTATAAATTGCATCTTGTTATGAATTACTGTTAAAGACTGGTTCTGAAACATTGGCACCGATTCCTTCTATACTTCAGGAATTCCATGCTAACTTAAACCCCTTGTGTTCAAAATCAAACGCATAGTTGTGTGTTTCTACTAATCATTGTAATCACTCTCCTTTTGTGATCCTACTGTGATTCACAAGTGACACTTGTGTTTCATAATATCTTTTCCTGAGTTAAGAGCTGTATATTCATCAGTTCTGTTACCAACTGTATGTCTTGTTAGGCTTCTGAACACATTTCTTAAACGTGAAATGTATCACGACATGGAATACATAGCATGAGCTCTTTAGGTTTTGATGCATAGCAGATAATTGTATGAATTTATCAACATTTTTAATAAGAACAGATGTGAAAGGATTATTGAATTGGGTATGTTTTTCTTGGAGTTCATGTTTGTATGCGCAGAATAGTCAGTGGTTTATTAACAGTAGAGTTGCACCTTGTAATCCAGTTGTAGTCCACTAATAGTTAAATTATTAGGTCACTGTATTTCAGCAGTCAGTGAATTGTAACTGACTTAATCTTCTGCTTTTTATTCTTTAGTGCTGCAAGTTGATTGAATAAAATAAAGAACACGGAATATAATATGGATGCAGTTGCTTGAGTGCCGTTTCTTCCCAAGTGTATATTCTGCAGATTGGTGACCTGAATGATTGATAAGCAACATACACAAGACTAATACCAAGACGACATTCTGTCTGTTGCTGCTGTGTTTGACAAAACTGGTGCTGACTCACATCTTCTGAAATGCAGTTGAAAAAAATGAGGGAAATTTTACCAACGTTATACCCTGGCCAAGTTAATGATAAAAATAATTCCTTAACTACATCCCCAAAGCAGTCTTCAGAGGATAAAGTGAATCCATCCAAAGGGAATGATGACCAGAACTGCTGTTACCAAGGGACTGAGGCCGAGAGCAATAAGGTGTCACTGATAAGCTGTATAAAGTGCCAAAGTGTTCAGAAAATTGCAGTGCAAGATATAGAAAAGCGTAAGGAGCTTGGGTGGACTGAAGACAAAAATTTCATCTGCAAGAAGTGCAGTCACCTTCCACCAGCAGCTTTCCATTTTGTTCCTGAAGGTGCCAATGCTGTAGACTTTCAAAAACGAGAAAAAAAATCTCCAAGTAAACCCCAGAAAACATTTAAAGTTAAAAACTTTCTGCCGGGTAAATACTACTGTGATAAATGCAGATTTTCAACAAAGGATCCGTTACAGTATAAAAAGCACGTAAGTCAACATGAAGAAATTAAATTTATTTGTTCCCATTGTAGCTACATATCTTACACCAAAGGAGAATTCCAGAGACATTTGGTGAAGCACACCGGAACTTTTCCGTATCAGTGTAAGTACTGCGAATATGGTGCTGTTAGACATGACTACATAGTAAAGCATACGAGAAGAGTACATGAAACACCCACAAAACGACTGTCAAATAATGCCGTAAACCACAAGCAGAAGAAGCCAACTCAAAGCACTTTATTTGAGAAGCTGAAATATGATAAAATTCCTTTTCAGAATGAACATTCAAATTCGTCTTCAAATATGGTTTGTCACATTCCACGTAAAGCAACTAAAAGGGCCAGTTTGTCTCATGATGTAGAATGTACTGTAAACACAGCGCCAGTCCAGGATAAACCAATATTAGGGCCATCTGAAATAGGCATATGTGAGAATCAAAGTGTGGAAGTCGAGGTTTATTCTCCAAAAACAGAGTCTTTACAACCTGGAATGCCTTTAACAGTAATTGCACCATCTGAATTTGTAGTTCCTTCTAACTGTTTAGCTCAAATAGTAGAGATTAAAATAGTGAATGGAGCACAACAACTTGTTCTTAAATTAATCCCTATGAAAGAAGCAACTTGTAAGCCTGCAAACAGTGCTGAAGAACAACTTGAGAATCAAGGTATAGAACAGTCTGCAGAAGGAAAAAAAACATCTTCTGTATCTCAAAATGAGTTACTAATGATGGAAGTGAATGTAGACAAATTATCCAGTGTCACTAACCAGCTTAATTTGGATAATACACATGACAAAAATTCTGAATGTCTTTGTTTTTCTGATTCTCAACTCTTGGACTGTAACTCTGTATGTATACAGAGGGAAGATGCATCAAAATTATGCTTTCATTTGGTAAAGGGTATTGATATCCATTCAGGTGTTATAGAACTTTGTTCTCCGTCTCTGGTGATGAATAATACGGAAAAAAAAAGTGATTTTAAATCCTCAAGGTGGAAAGTAGATGGAAAAAATAACTTACATTATGACTTGCATTGTTACGAAGGTGTGGATATATCCCCTCCAAAATATGCTGCTATTTCTGAAGATGAAAGTTCCAAGAACGCTTCAGTAGAGGCTGGTCAGGAGGGAAAAAATTCTTCTGCAGTCATTAAACAAAAGGATACATTGCCTCTAAAGAGGGATGACAAAGATGACAAAGAATGTAGGAGTCTGCCAGTCAGCTTTACAGAAACACATTTAGCTGGTAAGGGTTTTGATGAAAAATCTGTTACATCTTCTGAAGCAGGAAAAAACTTCTATGTCACTAAAACTCCACCTTGTGAGGCCATGACTTTTGGCTTTAGCAAAGTAAAGAGAGCTGGAACCATAAGTCAAAAGAACGCTCGTTGTCTGGAATCATTAGAGCTACAGAAGAAGGAAAATAAAGGCAATCCTTTTGAGGGACCTGTTATTTCATCTGTATTTTCTCTTAGCTCTGGGACTGAAAATGTTCCAGAGGGTGTCAGATGGGATGACTCAACATGCAATAAGAAGTCAGCAACATTGCTGTGTAGAAAGATTGCTCAGCTCATGTCTGCTGCTGAATCTAACATGAAGTCCATGCCATTGAGATGTCAGGCTTCTAGTAAAAAAGTGGTTTCCCCTCAAGAAAATTCAGCGAGCTGTGAGAGGGCTGTTTCTGCCTCTGAAGTGGAACAGCCTGCATCTTTACCTCAAGTGCATGGTAGAAACAGTGTGATGAGTAGTGAAGAACCCAGTAAAGATCAGCTGCTTACATTTGCAAGTACATCTAAAAACAGGGTAACTAAAAATTCCCATGTTGCTACTCCAGTGTTTATCCCCAAAGGGACAATGCTGAGAGTGCTGAATGCAACTAACAGTCAAAACTCAGATGGAATAGAAAACAAGAGTGAAACATCAGCTCCTTCTGTGTATTGCAATGAAATGTTTCTGCCTCGCCCAGTTCCTGTCAGTGTTTCTGAGACAGTTAGCAGTAATTTGCCATGTTTACCTAATCAGAATGAGATGAATTCAGAGTCCCGAAGTATATCACTCAGGAAAAGGCCAAAGCGAGAGGCAAGTGTTAAAAATAATAACAAACAAACTGCTGTGCTGTTGCAGAAAAGCAGTAATGTGAGTAAGCAGAGCAAACCCTATTCAAAAAGTCAAATAGGTCCCAAAAACAAGGCAAAACAAGCAAGCTTCAGGGAACTTCCTAAGAGGAAAACAAGAACACAGTCAGAAAACAGTTCAAGTTCTGACATGTCGTATCTTTTGACAGCAAGACGTCTTCGGCTTATTCCTCTGAGAACAAATCAGTTGATAAAATGCCCTCGTCGTAACCAGCCAGTTGTGGTACTAAACCATCCTGATGTTGACACGCCAGAGATAATTAATGTCATGAAGACTATCAACAAGTATAAAGGTCAAGTATTGAAAGTAGTTTTGTCAAAAAGGACAAGTAGTTGTCTTGGTGTCAGACGTTATCGAAAGCGTCTTACTCTTCAGAACGTTGAGACAGGAAATCAAGCAAAAAAGCGGAGTATGCTAAAAATGAAACTAAAAAAGACCCATAAAAACAACTATCAAGTGGTGGAAACTTCACCAGCTGAAACACTTCAGTGTCTGTTTAAGTGTTGGTTTTGTGGAAGAGTATATATGGACCAAGAAGAATGGATAAGTCATGGACAGAGGCACTTGATAGAGGCAACCAAGGGTTGGGATGTTCTTTCTCTTCCGTCACAGAAGCATTAAGTGAGAGACTAGTGGAAGGTTCCCCTATTATTTTTGAGTGCCACTAACTTGCTTGGAAAGGAAAGTTCAAATAACTGCTTTATTTTGCCAAAAGGTGTGTACTGTGAGCAAAGTGGAAGAAGAGAGCAAAGGTAGAAATACAGAAAAGCTGATAGGATTAAGCACTACTTTGCACTCTCGTGTTTGAAAACTGTATTGGAATTCATCTGTCCATAGGAGAAATTCGGAAAAGATTTGCTATGCAAACATCTTTCTAGTTACCATTTTGTGTGTGCTAGGATACTGTGCTGTAACTTGTCTGTGCTAGGTCTGTGTGGATTAAAATCCTAGATGATGATACCTTTTGTAAATTTAACAGGGTTTAGATTGTTTTAGTACAGCGTAGTGTTTCAGAAATTGAGCATACATGTACTGAAAAGCACTTCTGATCCTCTGTGGGTAGCAATTGTGTATGATAGGTTTTAGTGGCAAGTTAAGCATCACATACAAAAAGTAAAACTTAAAAGGAAGTACTCTGTTTCAGTGAAACAAAACCACTTCTGCTGACTTCAGAGGAGATACAGGGGCGCAAATGAACAATCTGTGGTATCAGTGTTACAGTAGCTCAGATAGCTGTGAAAAGTTTAATTTTGTTTAGTACTTAGTACCTAGCCTGGACTGGGTAGATGTGAGAGAGCACAACGCTGTGAGCTTTCTGTACCATCTTTGTTCTGAACAGGAAGAGCTGGAATATTGTCAGGCTTGGACTGATAGGAGTGAAGCTTTTCACTGTATGAACTCAAGGCTGTTCTGAAATCTAAGGAAGTAATAGCCAAACATAAACTTTCTATCACCATGTGTGTATAGCCTGATAGAAACACGTTTACATAATTGGTCATTTGGTTAGAACTCTAGTTGGTGAGTTAATGCATATTTACAGAGGGAACTTGCTGAAGGTGAAGACTTTCAAAATGACAAATGATGCTGCACAGCTTTTACATTGACAGTGTTGAACCAGATTTTCAGTGCAATCTTTCATCCTTCTTAATCTTAAGAATTTAGATATTGTTAGAATATATTTTTTGTAGGTCTTAATTCATACAGGCATGTGTCTAGTTACATATGTATGTCTAATGTGTATCTACCGACTTCAGTGTAAGCATCACTCAGTTGTTTAAACACTTTATTATATCAGGGCCAAATTTGAAGTTTTTAGTGAAGAAGAGGGGTGGATGACACTGAAGTCTAATGTTTCTGTACATGAACAGTATGTGTTTTTATTCATCTTGTCAATTTTAAATAATTTTTAAACCATATAGGATGCAGTATTTTGAAGCACATATTTACAGTTAAAATAGCTTCTTACAGTTTTACAGGTAAGAAAATCAATACTGACTCTAATGCTGGATGTGTGTTCTATGTTTTAACTGGGACTACACTTGAAAAGCTCGTGGTCCCTAACTGTTTTCACTGTTGGTGCAGTTTTGTAAGCAGTTTAAGCTGGGAATATTTTTTTAATATACTTCATCACATTATACATTGTTTTGATAAAGTATTGTGTCTGCATTGAAATGTATATATTTTAAAACTACATCTGACTGAGGCTTATTTTCAAAACTAGCTAAAATGTTGCTTTCCCATCATTTTGCAATACAGTGTTAAAAGTCCTTCAGATAGTTGGTGCTTTAAGACAGATCTTTTTCATCGTGTACACATGGAAAACTTTTGTATTATTTGTATCAGACTAACCTGTTCCACAGAACAAATTTTCTTTTGTCAGTTTTGTCAAGAAAAATGAAATGACAGTTCTCATTTTGTATTCAAATGGAATTCTATTTTTTTAGATAAGTACACTGAGGGTTTTTTTCACTTCATATACTTTGATGCCAAACTTAACAGTACTGTTTGCATTTTCAGTTGTGAAAACAGTTTCCGTTTTACAATTACAGCATGGCACATGTAATAAATATTGGAATTGTTAACATAATTAAAAACAGTGGTTAAAATTACTCCTTTGTTTTAACTCCTTCAGTTCAGGTTCCTGTCTGAATGAATTTGTTTCTGTAGAAGCTACTAAATAAATAGTTTTGAATTTGCTTCGTATGAGTTTTCACTGGCAAAATTATAACATTCTCTTAAAGATACAAACTCTTAAAGGAGATTACAACATGCCTCTTTTCCTTTTTATGAGCTCTGCCAAACTCTTACTTGGCAGCTTGTGTTTTGTTCATTTTCGTTCTCATTTTTAGATAATGTAATGTCAGAATAATTTCCTTGAGGTATAACAGTCTCAGTGATTTGGAAGAAATAATTACAGTGAATGTTCTTTTGTGTTCTGATGCAGTGTTGAGAAATAAAAAGGTTGTGAGGAGGTAACCAACTGCTGATTTCTTTTTTTTAGAGTTAGTTTGTGCCACTACATACTACATCATTAACTGGAATGTCTTGTTTTGGGCTTGAATGCTTTTATTATTCTCGTTCCTATTCTGTAAGGATAGAGTAACTGAAGTTGCTTTCTTGATATAGTCCAGTTGCCTAGTTAAACTTCTGAGTGTGCTTAAAAAAGAAGATTATGGATGGTTTGCAGAGAGATATTGAAGTTTGCCTTCATATTTAAAATGAATTTAGTTAAGCCTTCCGAACCTCAAATTATATGAATAAATATTACTGTATTTTTTAATTGGAACATGCTTTCGTGCTTAGTTTGAAGCACATCTATGAGTTCCTACTGATGATTTTTATCTCTGTTATTCGCATGTGGTATGAATTCAAAGGGACTGTTTGCATAATGATTTTACTATCCAAGTGTTTGAAGGCTCTGATAGGGAGTATCTGCTACTTAAGCTAAAGAATAAGTGTTACTTAAGTAATAGAATTTACATAATTAAAGCTAGCTTTATAATCTGCTCCAATACCTGGGAGCATCATCTGACACCCACTGACTTCAGTGGCTGCTGAGCACAGGTTGTTCCTGTGCAAACACATGCATAGACTGAATGAAATCATTAGACAGTGAGGACTCAGAGAAGTAGCATTTCATGGGTATTTTCAAAAGCAAGAATACTTTTTTTTTTATGTGACTAGAATGTTTTATTAAGTTTTGCTGCTAACAGCTGCAGTAACATTTAAGTAAGTAAGACTGCGCTCAGTTTTCATCTTGTGTTAGAAGGTAGAGTGCAAGGTAAGCAAATTGCTCAATCATTGTCAAGGTACCGGTCTGTTTATGATTTCCTGTGAATTAATACAGTGGCATATATTTTACCTGTATCCTTGAAGTTAAAAATGAATAAAAAAATTGAGCTGATTTGTGTTCTCACTTGGAGAGGAATTTTCAGTGGAGCAGTGTAGAGTGCTTCCTAATACTACGGGGAGCTCCTCATTCAAAGGCTAATCTGTTTTTTGAGACATTTAAATAATTGTTCTATACAAGCAAATTGGTGACATTAAGGCAGAAAACATCTGTTGCGCAACTGAAATGGATATGTAAGATAACATTGTTCTCTCTGCGTTCCTGACTTATACTTTCCGTCAACGAGTGTGATGGGAACGCATTTGTAGAAGTCAATGATCTCTTTCACAGAATTAAATTTCTGAGGGAAAAAGAAAAATTGTAATCAGTGACTGAAAATGCAATTGCTAGATGGCTTTATTTATAACATTTAAAAACATGGAAATGGCAGTATTTGAAATAGGTAATGCTTTGCATAGAATTGTGATTAGATTAGATTAAATGGAAGAAATCATGAAAGGAAAAGCACCAGATTTTGATCCTCTTATTTCCTTCGTGTGCGTGTCTTCTGTAGGAGAAAGCAAGTGGCTGCTTAGGGCAAAAGCGGGAGCATGTCTAAGCCCTGAAAATGCAGTATCACATATAAAAGTTTGTGATGCCAGATGTAATCATAGATTTTGAAAAGATACAGCAAATATAAATCATTACTCACTGTCAAAAGTTACATTTAATTAGCAGTATATAGTACTTTACGCTGCAGGTTTCTTTGTACCTTTTTAAATATCTTTTATTTTCCCATTCAGTTTACTGAGAAAGTTGCTATAAAATCCCTTTTTGGGATTGGAACAAGAAAGATTTTAGCAGGGTTTTAGGCTTGTTCTCTGGTATTCAAAAAAATGACATCCTCCAAGCTCATTCCTGAAATGATAAAGGTGTGGTTCAAGGTTCCTGAACTGATCAAACAGCAGTAGAAAGCTATGTGAGGTATTTAACACAGAATCATAGAATAGTTAGGGTTGGAAAGGACCTTAAGATCATCAAGTTCCAACCCCCCTGACATGGGCAAGGACACCTCGCACTAAACCGTATCACCCAAGGCTTCGTCCAACCTGGCCTTGAGCACTGCCAGGGATGGAGCATTCACAACCTCCCTGGGCAACCCATTCCAGTGCCTCACCACCCTAACAGGAAAGAATCTCCTCCTTATATCCAATCTAAACTTCCCCTGTTTTAAGTTCTAACCCATTACCCCTTGTCCTATCACTACAGTCCCTAATGAAGAGTCCCTCCCCAGCATCCCTATATGCCCCCTTCAGATACTGGAAGGCTGCTATGAGGTGTCCACTCAGCCTTCTCCAGGCTGAACAGCCCCAACTTCCTCAGCCTCTCTTCATATGGGAGGTGCTCCAGTGCTCTGATCATCCTCATGGCCGTGTGTCCTGGTGTGGGAGTCTCTTAATCCTGCCATTCCAACAGGTAGCAGTGCTTCATCTTAAATGGCTCGCTTCCCTATGCTCTCATCACACCACTAAGCTATCATCACACCACTCTTTCTCCTCTTGAGCTAGTCTTGAGACTCATCGTTATATCAGTAGAACTGTACACAGTAATGAAAGCTTACTGGTACATTAGTACTTATCCTGTATCTGTCTTATATCCCATTTACTCTAGGCATGGCATTCATATATGTGATAGTATCTCCTAGTCTCTGTCATCTCCACCTGATCCACACCTTGCTAACAAGAATCCAGTTAAATCTGTGATGAGATGAAATTGTTCCTGAATTATTTTAAGATGAGGACTATTTGATCTCCAAACCAGTATGTTTTCCAACTTTTGATAATGTTTACTTCTGTATATTTCTTCCACTTTGCTGTTTTGTCTTTGCCTTCTGTTCAAGGTCACTGTTACTACTAGACATCTAGGGAAATCTGGGATGTGTATTTCATGCCAAACCAAAGTAATCCTAATTTTCTTCAATTCTAAACCTACTCTTCATCAGTATGAGTTCTCTTCCTGTTTTGTAATGTTTTTTGTTGCTTGGAAGGGTAAAAAGTCTTACTGTAATTGTTCACCTGCTTTGGAAATTTAACTTGGTTTCGCTTGGCTTGTGTCACATTATTTGTTAGTGTACCTTTTAAGTTGTAACTCTGGTAATGAAGGAAAAATGTCTCCAATGTTACTTAGGTTTTCTTTTTCTTCCTGTTTTGTTTCATCCTGTACTCAGAGTTAGTGACGTTTAAAATAGTAAGCTCTGAGTCTCTTCATGGCTGCTAGAACATGAAGTTGACTTAGATGTCATGGTGATGAGCCCTGATAGTCCAGAATTTTAGGTTTTCAGCTCTTTTAATGCCACCCTATGCTTTTTTAGATTTAAAGATGAAGAAAATTCAATACTTTGATTCATTATTTTCCCTTCATTATCTGAAGAGACTCAAACTGATCTCTGCTGCCATAGGAATATGCTAGCTGCTGGTCTCCAGACTGTTCTGCCAAGATAGGAAGAATGTCTCAAGGATTGCTTGTGAAAGGTGTAATTTTGAATTGTATTGGGGTGATGTTAGGACTCCGGACTACATGTTGCAGATTCTGAATGAGAACAGTTTTTCCTTGGGACCGTCATTTAAGGTGTGGAGCATCCCCTCAGAGGTGACTGTAGAGTCCATTTTCTTGTTTCTAGCTTTTGACCTTATTAGTGTATATAAATATATAAAGGGGGAGTGTCACGAGGATAGAGCCAGGCTCTTCTCAGTGGCAAACGATGATAGGACAAGGGGAATTGGGTACAAACTGGAACACAAGAGGTTCCACTTAAACTTGAGAAGAAACTTCTCAGTGAGGGTGACGGAACACTGGAACAGGCTGCCCAGGGAGGTTGTGGAGTCTCCTTCTCTGGAGACATTCAAAACCCGCCTGGACACGTTCCTGTGTAACCTTATCTAGGTGTTCCTGCTCCGGCAGGGGGATTGGACTAGATGATCTTTTGAGGTCCCTTCCAATCTCTAACATACTGTGATACTGTGTGACATAACACTGTCAGTGGAGGGCATGGTGAAAGTGCTCCCTCATCTATTCTGATGAGTCAGGCAATTTTATGACTGATGAATGCAGATGGAGCTAATCCCTTTCACTGACTTTGAAATTAACTTAAATGATATGACTTGTATGACTGATGGTTTGAAAACGAAAATCAGCTGCAAATGGTGGTAGGGAGTGGTGAGGATAGAGGAAATATCTATGGCCAGAACAGCAAGATCCAGAGATCTAGGTCAGGCTGTGCTCTAAGCTTCTCTGTAAAACAGGCGCTGAATTGAAGAGGAGCCTACTTCTGCCTTTGATTTTCAGTTACTGCACTGTGAGTTCAGCCTCATGCTGCAGACGTGCTAAAACATGTATTTTGTGTGTGGCAGATCTAGTTTTGCAAGGGAGATAAAAATACTTGAGTTTTGTGTCATGATCAGCTTTAAATGTGAGCAAGGTTTTGATTTCTTCAAAAGAACTATGTGTATGAAATAAGCTTTGTTACAGGGATCTCTGGATCTTTAATATTGAAACTGACTGGAGTAGAGAAGGCAGCAGCTAAGTAAAGGGTGCTCAGGACAGCAGTTTTGAATGTAAATGCTTAAATTCCAAGCTTATGATCATCTGGGACCTGATCTTTATAGCTTTATGTGGTTTGGACTTTAATGAGCTCAGTATAATACATTAAATATGTATGGAGATGTGAACATCTGTGGCTAAACTGCTAACAAAAGATACAGCTCTGCTAGCATTGTGGTGTTTTGGTCTGTGTCCCCCCCCTTCTCCAATTGTATTTCATTATATTCTAGCTTGATACTAATTTAGCTGTGTGGAACTTCAGTTCCTTCTAACATAGAAGTCTGATGGGCAATGCTTTTTTTCCTGTTTATGGTCTTACAGACCCTTTATGGCTCCATAAGAGTTAATAATGAAAGCTCTCATGAAAGTTGAATTTAAAATGCTTTAAAAAATAATTGTTAATAAAAAATGGTCTTTGATGATACAAAGTGTTAACATCTCATAAATTATACATGAAAAATTAGATGTTGCAGTAGGACAGGGAAAACTTTGAATAATATGTGTAAGGAAAAATGTATTTTTAATGGATGAAAATAGACTAATCCAAAAGCACAAACACTGCAGAGCTGAACCTGTGAATAAAATCACCATCTGGGGAGAAATTTAATAGGTCTGCATGTGTTTGTTGTTGTTTAGGTTTCTTTCTCTTTGGCAGGTTATGAGGGAATACTCAGTTATTCTAGATAAAGCAGCTGGTCTGTCTGCATCACATACTGCAAAATGCAGTGTAACAAAGGGTGTCCCTGTGGAGGAACAACATAGAGCACTCTGGAAAGCATTTTAACAGGCTCTGGAAAAGTACAGGCAGCAATTTTGCTGTAATTCACAGCATTACAAATTGTTTTCAACCCCCTGAGGTAAGAACCTTAAGCAAGCTGTGGAAAGCTGAGGAGGCACTTTTCAAGAAAGAGGTTTTGTGAGTCCTTTGAGACTGTTTGAAGTGGAAGTAGATCTTCTGAGCATGGTTGGTGCCACTGATTGTTCATGGTTGCCTATGTTCTTCATTCCCGGTTAATTCTATGTGCATGTCTGCTGCTGAGAATAATGCACAGAAGTAGAGTCTGTTGTCTCTGTGGCTCTCTAGCCACAGCTGACTAGCAAAGCAGTTCTGAAATTTTTCTGTAGTTGATCTATGGGAAGATTTGTGAATTAAAAAGAAACAATACTCAAGAAAGAAGGCTTAATGTGTCATGATTACAGATTTGACCTGGTAGAGACAAGTCTTAGATATATTGTTGGTTATTAACTAGGTGCTTGAAATCCTTATTCTGGAATTGTGACTTTCCAATTTGACCGTTGTCAGTCAAGACCTACTGTTCAAGACACGTGATTTCTGTGCACATGTTGGAAAAAGTCATATAATTTGGTATTTCCTGAGATGGGAAGGGATTGTGTTCTCCTTCCTTTTAGTTCAGAAAAAACTGTTCACATGTTATTCAGGTACTTTTCTATTGGCCTTAATTGTTAAAATGGTGAAAGTTTAGTTGTAGGTCTCTATAGTGTTTTGTACTCTTACTATATTGTGCTGTAGTGTGCCATATTTCAGTTCCATTTTTCTATCCACTCACTGTTTGTGGTTAAGCCTTTTTTTTTATCAGGGCTGTTGAAGGCTAAACAATGTAAGAACCACAGAAAACTAAACTTTCTTCCCTATCATTGTAAACCTTCAGAAAATTATCTGGGAGGTTCAGTTCAGAAATGAGCCAGTGTTTTACAGAAGCCTTGATGGTTCACTGCCGTAATGCCAAGACGATGCAGTACTGCAGTATAGTTCTCTATTTGTTCTATCCTCCTGCTTCCCAAACTGTTTTGGTGTGCTTGAACAATGAAAGATGTTTTTTTCCCCCCCTTATTTTTAAACCAATGTTCCTGAAGAACAACTTGTCAGTAAACCTTGCCCCTCATCTCTGAAAGCTCATGAATCCTATTCCATGTTTTCTAGTAATAATCCAAATGTAAAACTTGGACCTGCCAAATTTCTTAAGTTAGCTTGGGTCAGTTTTGATTTCAGGTTTTTGTAAGTTATCTATAGGAAAGTTTTCAAAGTATTGGCACACATGAAAAGGATATAATTGAAGATGCAGCTACAGAGGCTTTGCTGCTTTCCCTGAGTTGGATTTCTGTTTCATTTACAAAGCTAATAATCCTCATAATCGGTTGTTGCTCTGCTCTTTTGCTGCACAGCTGAGCTTTCTTTTAAGTTTCTTCTAATTTTTTTGTATCATATTATGGCATTTCACGGCATGGACTCAAGTTGATGAGGAGACTCAAATCCTAATCGAGACTCAAATCCAACTTTATTACAACCAAGCCCTTTTTATCCCCATTTGGTACTTTCCCAACCTGCACAAACATACAACGTTCAGTCTCATTGTCCCCTGTTAAAATCTCCAGGTAAACAGTCCAATCACAATGCTGCAGACGCTCTCACAACCCCCACATCGTCAGCTGAGACTCCTGCCACAAATACATCCCGGCCTGTCCCCCCAAGGCTTGTTTCTTGATCTTCCCTGGCCTTCAGTGCCCCAACTCATTGGCCCAGGGCTTGTCAAGCACCAAGGCCTCAGAGCTCATTCGCAAACTGTTTTTCATGCAAATCTTATGCCTTCACTTCCCACATCCTGTCTTTATAGAGATGACTATTTCAGGTTTAACTTTTTTTTTGTGTAAGACATGCAGAAACAGCATATGTTACTTAACCTTATAGGAGGCAATTGGACTTGTCATAGGTATAATTGAATTTAATTATATAAAAAAGCGTTACTAATCTAAAAGGATTTCCTACTTGAAATTTACCATGTCTGAAAAACTGGTTGGTGGGGTCTCAGGTGATTTAATTGCTTCTGAACATCCATGACAACTTTTGTCTTATTTTCTCATTTAAAAAAAAAAACAAAACTAATTCCTGTTTTAGTGTATGAGACAGACAATAAGAAATACAGACAATAAGAAATACTGTGCAGCAATAATAGCCACAGGCCTTGCTGTCAGATATGTTGAGTTGTATCTGTTTTAAAATATCTGCTTGTATTTATAGGAAATTAAAAAATCTGCAACAAAGTATGTATACCTGTAAAGGGAAGACTTTTCTTTCCTCTTTGCAGGTGTTACATAGAAGTATTCTGGAAGTACTTGGAAAATTTTCACATTGATTTAAAACTGAGTCAATGTAAAATTTGTTTTTAATTATGTATATAAAATTCTTTCTGATTTTAAGTTGATGAAACTTTGAGGTACACTTGAAGTGAGAGTATTGTAAAAGAAACTTCAATGTCACAGCAAGTTTGTTACGTGGGAGAGTTTGCCACTGAACTTTAGTATTAAAGACTTGTGAAATGTGACACAAAAACAATAGACTTGTAACAGTAGATGGGATTTTACTTACATCATCTCCTCTAAGCCCTGTTCCCAGCGCGTATTGTTGGCTGTCTTCCAGAAAACGTACTTTAATGTTGTATACTCTTCTTCCGTAATAGACAACCAAAACATACGGTTCACTGTTTGATTTCTTTGAGCAATCTCTAACCAAGAATGTCTCATCCTGAATGACACAGATTAAAATTATGGATTGTATGGTTAGCTCACAACAAAACATTTAAGCCGTTGTGGACAATTTACAGATATTTTCTCCAAGAGTTTACACTCCAGGATTTGGGACAGATTGTACTTACAATGTTTTCCTGTAACAGTGCCTTCTCTACTTCATGGCGATCATATTCTCCAATGTACCATTCATATTTGTTTAAGTCCTTAATTTTAAGATAGCATAATCAGTGTATAGAAATTAAACACAGCTGGCAGAAGCAAAGGCTGGTAAAAACAGATTATATCAAATCTGCACTTAGAGCAAGTTAGTGCAGTTATAAAAATAATTGTAACACTTTTCCATCAAGAAGTACAGTTAGGAAGTCTGAATCAAATTAGACATATAAATTCTTATCCTTGGTTTGAAGAGCTCATATTGGACTGTTTTCAAGGGTGCTGAATACCCACAGCTTCCAGACCATTTTAACCTCCTGGATTTTCAGAAGACATCAGTTCTTAACGTTGTGTGGGTATGTACCCTACAGGGATAATCCTGCTTTCTAAAAACCTGTCTCCATCAAGCAAAGTTACCTTTTCAGTGGATTGGGTAGGGGATTGCATTTCCAGTTTTACAAGTGAACGTTTTGATTTAGTTTTGCATGCTGTATACTGTGTAGGAGATGGTGACTTCTTCACTGACAAATTTGCTACATTTAACACGGACCCTGTGAAAGTAAATTCAGAAGGAAAAAAGTTGTATTTTTTTAAGCTTAAGTCATAGTTACATTTTACCCTGTCAGTTTTATTTATTAAGTCCGAGAATAGCATTTACACTTTAGAAATACACTGTTGTGATATTAACCTTTAAAATCTAGAGCAGTCAGTCATGAGTAGTCTTGTGTTAATGCAGCACCAGTGATTTCAGACTCATGCCCCAAGAAATTTAACACATTGTTTTCCTGGTGGTTTTTAATTGATGTCACTGCCAGGTTCTTGTGCACATAGCAAAATGTTAAACTACTAATAAAATAGCAAATGCTAAATAAAATGATAGAAGAAGTGTAATGGTTAATTCTGTTCTACTGTCACCTTTTGAGCCCCTTTTATTTTTGCGTTGGATCATATTAAAGCCCCTTATTATCCTGTTACCAGCTAGCATTATTTCTGCCAAGCTGTTGAAACCTTAAAGGATTCAAGAGGTTCTGCCATGCTGATGAGCTTCAGTGTGCTCTGAGGCTTGTTTCAATTAAAAAATTTAGGGCCAAGAAGTGAGGGTGTTCTTGCAATAAGACGAAGGTGGTGGTCTCTGGCTGTATGTTCCTGGTTCATACTCCACTGCTGGGATGGCAGCTGACTGAGGGAGTGTACATATCTGAAAACTGCCCTCCCAAATGTGATTTGCTGTCTGTAGACTTAAGGCTGCCGTTTACCAGCCAGATTGAGCTCACCAGATCACTGGGGAGCTGACATGGGTCAGGATCACAAAGCATGGGGTAATGTGGGAGGCTCGGGCTGAGACCTAAGAGAATTCAGTGGAACTAGCCTGAAAAAAATCAAGGGTTTGCTTTCAGTGTATGTAGGTCAAATGCAGTTTGCAGGTACGTGACATGGTGATAAAATGGTTAAATAAAGATAACCATCATATCCTGCTCTACAATAGAACGCATTTTTGTTTGTTTCATGCCATGCTGATAGTAGAAATGACCTAGCGTCTATTTTTGGAGTAAATGAGAAAAATTGTAATCAGTGGCTTCCATCTTTTCTTTCTGGTTACTGTCACAAGAGACAGCACTGTTTGCCAAAGTGGTATTTCATTATGCTTTATCTGTTGTTCATGCTCACCAGTTTATTATTTTTCTGCATGTACATAGTGTATGATAGAATGCTAAGAAAATCTTACGTGGAAGACATTCTTTTACAGAAGAATAATAGTTTTTACTGTGTTCCCTTGTTTCATTTAACATGTTCTGGTTTATAACAGCATTATGTTTGATTTTAAGACGGTAAAAAATGTCTGCTGATCACAGTAGTCAAACAGCCATTCTTCAGCAGGCTATCAGTCCGTTCAGAAATTAAATCACTGTTCAAAGGGTCTGGGACCAGACATCTACATTTTGTTTCTGTAATCAGTTTGAGCTGTCAAAATATGAGTATGTCACCCTTCAGCTTCTTGGCTTCTGATTTGGCATTTGTGTTCACATTGCATTTTTGGTGGCTATCCCCACATACTTTTTTTTAAAAAGAGACCCCTATGGCTAGGACCCTGTTTGCTTTGTGACTGGTGTTGTATGTGTTCTGTGCAATTTTTTTTCTGGTATGTCTTAAGCTGTGGGAGAAGAAGTGGAAAATAATCTTGCCATGCTCATGTTCCGAATCTGGCTGGGATGGAGTTAACAGCAGCTCTTATTTGTATAGAGGGGACCAAAACTGAACAATATTAATGTTGACTTCCAGTATGTTCCCTTAGGTAAAGCCACACAGTCCAGAGGAAGTCCTATTTTCAAACATAATTATTTGACAGACCTGCCTGATGATGGCATCTACAAGTCCTTCCCTCTAGGAATCTGGGATAAATCTAAAGCAGTTTCATCAAAGATCAGTTTATTTGTTTACACAAGGCATTAAACCCATAGTAAGTGCTCTATAATGTGCTGAACATCTGTAGCTTCCATTTAGCCCAGCTGATTTCATCTCTGAAATAGCAGAGACAGTTGTGCTCACAGCATGCACTTTCTCTGTGGCTCTTTCTATGCCCAAGCAATTTGCCTTCTCTTCCTGTCCCCATCATCCTTTAGTAGCTTGTCCACATTCCCATCCTATTCTGGCTTTGGGAGCTACAGTGATTCATCACTTGCATTCAGGGTTGGACGTGGGGTGTAGCTGTGCAAGTAACTCTGCTTGTTTTTTCACTGCTATTGCCTGTGTCGTTGTTTTACTTGTTTTCTGCTGGTTTGCTTTAACATTCCCTTTGTACTAACTTGGTGCATTGAAAATCATCAGTGGAGACATACGCACATGGAAACATGGATCTGTTTATTACTTATCTGCGCCTGGTCTAGTTCTCAAATCAATCTGTAGTTCTTACCTGAGCTGCAAATGTTTTTAGAGCTCTGCTTGCACTGAAGGCTAGAAAAAAAACCACAATGAATGAAAGAGAAGTCAGAAAAATATTTGATAGCAGCAGTATTTAAGAGCCAAATTAGAGAGCTTTTGCTTAGAGAAGCTGTGCTTCCCCAGAATATACCCCTTCCTCTACTAATTGCAGCTTTGGGCCTTCCTGAGTTTTGGGTGGTCATTTTTTATTTGGCATCTTTTGACAGATTTCCCATTAATTTCATGAGCCACTTTTTGAAGCTAAATAAATATTTACCCTCCGTAAGAGAATTTGGCAAGAGTTTCACATTTTAACTGCATGTGTACTGAAGCACAGTTTGCTTTTGTTCATTTTGAGCATGTTCCCTGCTAATTTCACTTGATGTTCCCCATCCTTCTATAGGAAGACCCAGGGAGCAGTTGCTCCCTGTCCTGTCTGATTTTCTAAACTGCTGCTGAGTACCCAGCTGGTATTTTGTTGTGCTGTTAATTAGAATGGTTACACTGGGAAGAGCACCGACCAAATAACTTCACATAACAGAGCCACTGGTGCCACACAAAAAGAAACAAAATAGTAGGGGTCACAAATACTGTCATATTTACACCAGACAATAATTTTATCTCAGAGAAATGCCATCATTGTAAACAGGGCTAGATGTAAGGTTGAGTATTTTTCTAGGAAGGATGTTGAATCATTCATATTCTTCCATATGCTTTATCCTGTACTTTTGTTTTTTGTTGAGTACTTTAGGAGTATATAGCATGTTTTAAAAAGCACATTTAGAGCATAAAAGAACATAAAGCACATTTAGAAAAGAAAAATAGGAACAATTGTGGCAGATGTCTATGGAAGAATAATTGACCTTTGAAAGGACAGGTGTGTATTCTTTGATGAAAATAGGAAATAAAAGGGAGAGGAAGTGGTTTGAGATAGAAGAGCTGCTTTATACAGTGTGTCTAACACCCTATCGTGGAAAGTGAGGCAAAAATATAATACAGTAGTACGCTATTAAAGATAAAAATTGAATGTGCAATTACAATAGCTTGAAAGCAATTTCCAAAGACGGTTCTTGTCATGCATCAGGGCAAGACATAATATATCACTACATGGCACCAGAAGGTGACATCTTGCTTTTATTTCATAGTGAAGTATTATTTTCTAGGGTAGAATGTTTAGTCCTTGAAGCATGCACTAGAAACTCATGAAATTCTCATATTCCTACCTGGCTTCAGGGTGATGCTTTGATTTATACTCTTGTGCTTGAAAATATATTTCAGGTTTCTTCCCCAACTCTGTAACTATTAATAAAAAGTATAAGAACTTATTTCCTGTAATGTGTAACTTAGTATCTAGTAACTACTGTGAACTAAATTAACTAAGTTCATATATAAAGAAGAGGCAATTCAATAGGAAAACCTCGTAGGCTGCATCAGTCTGGCTTAAATGACTAAGCTAATGATTTCAGTGGGAAGCATTTGTGCATGTAGTGAATCTTACAGATTTTGCTGATGCCAAATATGGCTTAACATAATGGTAAATAATATAGTAGGGTGTACTAGAAGTATATGGAGGGTTCATAAATCCTTTTTATAGGACAGGATAGATAGGCATCGAATGTATTAATGCAGTCAATACTATTTCTAGCTGAAAATCAGGAAACTGCCTTAATCTGCAAAAGGAAACTCCAGAGGAAATTATGAACTCCTTAACATGAAGGTGTAAACAGCATAAAATCACATAGCCTGTACCTATCTTCAAAATATTTCAGAATAACATTTTTTTAAATGGGTCTTCCATGCACATGTACACAGCGAGTGCCTTAGGCTGTTTTTGAAAAGCTGAATGTACATCTAAAGAATTGGCATGTTTTCAAAGCATTTTTGTTTTGTAGCTTTAAAAAAACCGTTCTTTCAAAACTCTCACCATCAAATTATGGAAGAGGAGCAAGATGAAGAGAAATGTTCTCTCTGCAGATCAGATTGATCCAGTCTTTTCTGTTTGGGATATCATTCCCTCAGGTTTAAGTTCCAGCACTCTCCTTTTCCCCAGAACCTTAAGACTTTGATTTGCTTAGAACAAGTGCGATACCCTGGTTCCCAGATAGCTGTAGTTAATGCAAATTAGTTGCCCTTTTCTGTTATCTTCCCCAACTGTTGAGGTAACTTCAAATCTCTGTGTTCTCAGCAGACGTGTACCTGAGGGACATCACTTACTCATTTAAATATAGAGCCAGACAGCCTAATGCTACTTAGCAGGGTAGATGTCAGGGCTTTATACTGATTACTTAATTTGGAATTTTATTGACAGAATATTTTGTTCTTGGAATATAAACAGAAGCAAATTAACACCATAGTATTAAATACTAACCTTTTTCTCTTCCAGATACCTATATAAAATGATAACATAGTAAATATTTTTCTTCCAATTACCAACTTGAACTTACCCCAACAGACCCGACTCTCTTTTAATTTTAAAACAACATACAGACATCCAATCAGTAATACCTGATAACTTTGTCAAAAACTCAGGCTGAATGCTGATCTCATTCCCTGGCAATGAGAACTGAATTTTTAAGGCTATAAGTGAACATAATGGTTTACTGCAATGATCACCATTTCACATTGACTTGTGCACCAATTTAACTTTCAGTATGGTTTTCCTTCATTGATCTTGTATTAAATCAAGAGTTTGATTTTGATTGACTGGAGATACAGTATCCAAAGATTAAAATTAGTCATTTCTTTTCAGGCTCCTTAACTGACGGTACAATTATTTTGACTGTCATGGCAGGTACTTTGTTCAAAATCACAATGTGGTGAGTCTAATTCAGCATGTTATGTTACAAAGATGTCAATGATAGGCAGGTGTCTGAAGACTAGAACTTAACTCATAAATTAACTGTATTTCTGTATTATGGGAATAGTAATAATTTTGTTAATTTGTTACAAGACTGCAATACATAAATATTAAAGGATAAAATGTTTTAATTTTGTAGATGTTGCACTGTGAGCCTTCCTTAAAGGTTACTTTCTGGATAATGTTTACTTGTTACTTAAAAATTCATAGTCTCATTCAGGTCAGAAGGGACCTAGGCAGGTCTCTAGCTCCTGCTTAAAGCAGTGAACTGTGAGATGAGCTTGATTCTATGATTCTATCATTCTATGATTCTGTGACCAGCTGGGTCTTGCAAACTTCCAGATTTCACAGCCTCTCTGGGCAACCTGTTCCAAGACCCTCATAGATACCCTCAAAATTAATTTTTCCTCCTTCCTTCTGGTTGAAACCTCTTTCGTTTCAAGATCATTGCCTCTAGTACTTCCACTCTGCACCCTGTAAATTGCTGTGCTCTGCCTTGATAGTCGTCCCTTAGGTACTGGCAAACTATTGGGTTCCACCAGAGCCAGCTCCTACAGGCTAAGGGAGCCCAGTGGCACCGGCCTCATGTCACAGGGAGGTACTCCCTGCACTCCCTGGCTCTACTGGTGAGCCTCTGCTGACCAACTGTCTGTCAGCTGCAACCTTGTGCAGTACTCCAGGTGTTGTCTAGTGAATGATGAGGAAAAGGGAATAGACCCTTCCCTTGATCCCTTGGTTTTGCTTCTGTTAATACAGCTCAATATTCTGTTAGCTTTATGGCCACCTAAGGGCATACCAGTGGCTCAAGTTCAGCCTATAGCCCCCAGGTCCTTTAGAGCAAAGCTGCTGCCAAGGGGGCCAGTCCATCTTGGGGCAGGAGTTTTTGTTTGTCCTTTCCAACTGAGCTTCTTTTGACCATTTCCTGACAGCCTGTCTGGGTCCTGGCGAAGGGCAGTCCTACTCTCAAACCTATTGATCTGGTATTTGGTGTATGAAACCCTGATGAGAGCACAGTCTCCTCCTCTATGCTACACTGAAACTATGTCTTCAGATGTACGTGAATGGGAAGTGATCCAAATTAAATTTTATCTTTTCCATGTTCTGAGATACAAAGTAGTTCTCCTGAGATGTATTCAGACTAAGAGCCTGTTAGGAATTGCAGGATGTGTGCAGCTGTACGGTGCCCAGCCAGAAATATTAATTATGGGAGTAATATATTTATTGCTCTTGGGGGCGTTTTCATATCTTGTTTATAATGAGTCAGTATTTAGAATGAGACAGAGCATTTTGTGTTAAAATATTTTCTTGCCAATATGTAATTTTTTTTTTTTTACAATTAATTACAATATTGCAATCAAACCAGTGATCTTTCAAATGAAAAAGAGGTTCTAACCACAGGAGGAGTGAAGTCTGGGAGAGCTTCCCATTCAGAACTGTGGAAAAGAAAAACTCAAAAGGATCTGAAAGTTAGAGCTAGCCCAATGTATAGATTTGTGCTACAGCCCACTGTGGTAGGAAATGGCTGAGTTTAACTACTATAGAAGTTCCTTTTTGTCCTCCTTTCCCTTACAATGACATAAAACCCCGATACAATAGAAATGTATTAGTGCAGTATATAGAACATTATTGTAGGGACTGTATCTCTTAATACATCTTACAGGAAAACACTTGCCATAGCTAAGCTCCTTCAATGCTAAAACTGTTTCCTCTGCTTTACTTGGCTGGCTCAAGCAGAAAGTGAAGGAATTTGTTAAAATGTTTTTTTTTTTTTACAGAAATTGGGATCTGAAGGAAAAAATCACTTGTCTTTGCCAGTCTCTATAAGGTACTGCTTTCTGCTTTACATATGCCTATAGGTGCCTTTCCACCATTGCCTTTCTCAGGTTCTGTCCCCTGAACACAGCCAGCTGCACAGGGCTTGTAAGAGGCCCTAGGTAAGGAGAAAGGGGAGGAGAGGGAGAAAAGAGCTGAGGGATAACAGATGAGGTTCATTCTAGATATAAAATTTGTCAATTTTTGTTTCTCTTATTTAAAAGGAACATCTTATTTTTGAGGTAGCCTTGTGTTTGCATCAAAGTAATATTATTACACTCCTCTATTGGCCTTATGTTAGTTTTATGCCTTTAAAAATCTGTGGAATCTCTGTTTTTCTGGAGGAGAATGTCTCTCCCACTGCTTATCATTCATAGGCATCTGCAACATCTGGCAGTTCCCAGATACGCTTTTATGTGGATGCTTTGAAAGGTAGCATTGCACTGAATATATGTTTTTATTTCTGCAAGCAACTTCAGGATCTGACCTGCCATTCAGAAAATAGTGGCATTGAAAATTCTACACACATTAAAGATACTTTTATGACCCCAAACTGATATGATCACTAGAGTATTTTTATCAAATAGGCTAAAATACTCTTAACAAGAGAGGCTGTGCAGCCATAGAATGTGTATGGTTTTTATGGTCCTAATATATACAAAGATTATTACTTACTTTGTTTAGTTCCTTAACAGATAGATGTCTGGAAAAGAGAATTTTATACAAACCACTTCATTATCATAAAATAAAAATAGTTTTCGGTACTTAAATACTTTGATTACATCATTGAAATTTAACAGCCCTTGGCAAGAGAAGGATTTTATTACTGCTATAGAAGTGCAGAGGCTGGTTATTTTTTCCATTTTTTTTTGCAGGAGAAGGTTATGGGCTTCCATAAAAAAGAATCACATTCACTGAATTCATTGTGTCAACTGAGAGAAGTCATCATTAAGAATTTATTCTGGGAGGAGGGGAGAAGAGATATGAATGATTATCAGCTTTCTTCAGCACTTTTTATGTCATGCCACAATGTCTTATTATGAACTTTAAAGTCAATTATAAGTGGAGATAACTTCCTTTAAGACTGAAGGGTTTCAAAAATGAAACTTTTAAAGAGGAAGAATGAAAGTGTAGAAGAAAGGAGGTACAACCAGGAAACGAGGAATGGAGAGTGCTCCTCCTGATTCAAGTAGGTGTTTAGGTATATTTCTGCCTTCTGACATGCTGATCAACAGGAATATCTTCTTTTCCTAAGTAGGTTCGTCAGAAAATACTCTCCCTCCAAAAAGTGACAATATCGGTTATAACATCTTTTGTTAGATGTCTTGGGTATGGTGAACACTTGTGCTTTTTAACAGCAGATATCTTGTAAGAGGCAGAGGACAAGAGTTTAGAAGTTATTTAGCAACATGAAGTGTGAATAAGCATTGAGTAGTATTTTGAAGGCTGCAGGGTTTAGTCCCAGTTTAGCTTACCTTCTGGAGCGAAAGAGAACACCACGGAGTTATTTTGCCAGATCAGAGAGAGCATGAAAGGAAGATACAGTATAGAAAACTTTGGGAGCTATTTTCAACACTTGTTAGTGAGAATGAGTCTCTTTTTGGTGTCTGTGCTCAAAACATCAGCATGGAGGTTTAAAGATGTGAAAAGTTTGGAAATTTTTTGCTAGGGGAATGTTTCAGGAAGTCTAGGAGAAAGGAGAGGAACTGTTTTGAGTTTGGATAGTTGCTCCTGTGTTAGCTTCTGAAATTTGTTAGCTTGGTTTCCAAGGTCATTATTTGATGCGTGAAACTTGTATTGAGGACATTGGATGCATGGTACAGTTCAAGGGTAATAAAGGTGTACTTGCAGGCCTTGCCAGGGAATTGCCATTCACATGGCCAGATTACCACAGGCATTAAACTTTCAAATCACACCAAAGCTTCTAAGATACATGCCAGGACCCTGCATGTAGGTCGATGAGAAAATGAACGTGAGCCGGCTTCAGTGTGCGCTTGCAGCCCAGAAAACCAGCCGTATCCTGGGCTGCATCAAAAGGAGCATGACAAGCAGGTCGAAGGAGGTGATCCTGTCCCTTTATTCTGCTCTCGTGAGACCTCACTTGGAGTATTGTGTACAGTTCTGGCGTCATCAACATAAAAAGGACATGGAACTGTTGGAACAAGTCCAGAGGAGGGCCACGAGGATGATCAGGGGACTGGAGCACCTCCCATATGAAGATAGGCTGAGAAAGTTGGGGCTGTTCATCCTGGAAAAGAGAAGGCTGCGTGGAGACCTCATAGCAGCCTTCCAGTATCTGAAGGGGGCCTATAGGGGTGCTGGGGATGGACTCTTCATTAGGGACTGTAGTGACAGAACAAGGGGTAATGGGTTAAAACTTAAACAGGGGAAGTTTAGATTGGATATAAGGAGGAAATTCTTTCCTGTTAGGGTGGTGAGGCACTGGAATAGGCTGCCCAAGGAGGTTGTGAATGCACCATCCCTGGCAATGTTCAAGGCCAGGCTGGACGAGGCCTTGGGTGATATGGTTTAGAGCGAGGTGTCCTTGCCCATGGCAGGGGGGTTGGAACTTGATGATCTTAAGGTCCTTTCCAACCCTAACCATTCTATGATTCTATGGTTCTATGATTCTATGTACCTATCATTATTACTATTTTTTTTTATGATGGCATTTATAGAGTGTGTAAATAACGATGTGTTTAATTTTATAAGTCTTCCAAATCTTGTTGGAAAACGGGACTCCTAAATCACATCTGTGGTTTGACAGCTTTGCTTACAGTCTAGCAGATAACAGCTGTAGTGCTGTACTCCTCCACACTGCAGCTTGTATGTATGTTTTCTCCTTACAAAGTTGTGACTGGACTGAATATGGGCAAGAAATATTTTGAGTGAAGTGCTTGTGTGCCTTCCCCAGATCATGAGTGGTCTTAGTCTGTGCCATTGCTCTCTTACTCATGTGATTAAAAACCTAGTACTATAAAGAGACCCCCAGGCAAACTTAGAAATATTTTGGTATCTATAACTGCAATGAGAAGTGGAGTTTGGTGATTATGATTTTTGCTGCTGCTGTTTACTTCCAGAGTAAGAAATACCATGTATTTATATTGCAGAATTTGTCTTTATAAAAGGACCTTTCAAATCCATGTTCTCTTGTGTACTGATGTCTGCTGGCAAACACAGTTTATAACGGTTCGCACAGAGCTTTCAATGTATGTGCTGCCGTACTGAGGGAGGGGATCAGTCATAGGACTGGGAAGTTTGCAGCTGTAGGTCAGATCACACACCTGAATATGAAGCTAATTCATATTAATGAAATGTCTTAACCAACAGCTTTTAGAAGCTAATCCATGAAAGAATTTAAGCACCATTCAGGAAAAAATCCCACCAGACCATACTTAGAGCTCACTCCTTAGGTATACCCTTAACTATAAGCAGGAGATTATTTCATTTATCTGTAAGCTTCCACTTGCAGGAATTGTACTGACCTTTGTAAAATGAATCAAAATTCTGTCCAGATGAATTGAAATTACACCATTTAAGGAAGAATGGACAGGATTGACACAGCTCAGTTGTGTCCAAACTTCTGGCTGCAATAGGTTTTCCTTGAGAGACATTTTTTACCCTGTGGGCCCTGGATGTGCGTCATTTGTCTTTCTAGCATGTGTCCTCCACCATCCTGATTTATGAATGTGCATTTTGATCACACAGCAAGAGCAGATACGCCTCTGACTACATACATATGTTGTGTGAAAATAGCAGTGAGACTCATAACCATACAGATGTGTATGCTTGGTCATATGGCTGGACACAAGCAGTTTGTGCTTCAGAACTCATCCACACTACTGTGTTAAGATGCTGAATGAACATGGGTGTTGTACGGCAAAAGAGGGCAAGATGAAAAGAGCAAGAAGTGACTTGTAGCCTGGATTCATTTGTTTTAAGGGCTGGAGAAAGACTTCTGGCTACAGATTAGTCATTTTGTTTGCTGAATGTAATGTCCTTGGGATGTAGAGCTAATTTCTGTTTCTCTGGTGTGGTCAGTGTATTTCCTCCTTCCCTTGATTCACCAACTGTGCTAAACAAATGCAATTGTTTCCGCTTAAAAGTGTTTGCAAACCCTCTAAATGTTAGTAAGAAAAAGTAGAGCAAACCTTAAACAGTGTCCATGAATGTTCTGCCTACTTTTCTACTCCTTCTTCACCACTGTTTTGGCAGTTTTTTCTTGAAAAACTGCTAGTGTCACATTACACTAAATTCCACTTCTCCCAGTTATTCACAGCTGTCAAAAGAGTAACTTTTTTTTTTCTTCTTAAGTAAAAGCAGAGGTGTGATGGAGGTAAAGCCTTGTGTTTTAACTAGGGAGAGTGTTTTGGTTCTCGGGGAATGAGGATGAGGAATGCGGGCGTACCTTGTGTCTTTTGCTGATACTGGAAAAGTGTGAGCTTGGCTGAGCGCTTTCCTCGCGTGAAAGAACTGGCTGCTTGTCTTCGGCTCTGGAGGAAGTGGCTGATACTGCTTTGGCAGTGTCTTCAGAGGCCTAGGGAAGTCAAAAGAGAATTTGAAGAGGCAGTAGAGGCACAGGGACTGTGTTTTAAGGGCAAGAAGTAAACCACTGGAATTTTCTGAGAGCATTTTGATGTATGTTTGCCGAGCTTAGCTCTGGTTCAGGAGCCTCTTGAAGCCCTTCAATAGCAATAGTATTTTCGATAATATTCTACATTTGCAAGGCATTACTGTGCTGTGTTACATGCCACTTAACCCCCTTTTCTGTGCGCTTCACTACTGTGTGCCCAGTACAGCTCTTTGGTGCTGGTGTTTCTGGGTGGGTATGGGTGTTATTTAAGGCCCAGCCAGGGAGCACACTGCAGTTCAGACACACAGACAAAATACTCTTCATCCCGGAGGACTTGCAGCTAATGCCAGCCCAGTGGTTTCTGGCAGGTGTGGGCACACTCTGCCCATGCCCTGGGCCCAGCCAGTCACAGCCCAGCTCCAGCTGGAATCTGTAGCACACAGAGCTTGGGTGAGTTAAACTGGAGGTGCATGCATGCTGTGCTGCCCTTGGGCCCCTGGGGAGGGAATGTGAAGCTATGCTGTCATTTTATGCTCTAATTTCATATTTTAACTTGAGGAATAATCTAAATATGTCCGTAATGCTAATCATATTTTGAACTTCTTTATAGTTTTTGTGGCAGTCAGTGTAGGCACGGAGGAGTAAGCTTGTCAATCCTGGATAACCTGTTGGAAGGATATCTTGGTGGTAGGCGTTGTTGTTTGGGGTTAAAAATTCAGAGAAGTGATTAATTTTTTGTTAGTGGGCATAACAGACAAGTACATTTGTGGAATAGAGCTTGATTAATCTTCTGTGTGAGTGAGTAGTAATATCGTTGAATTCTGTGGACATGATTTAGATGTGTAGCAAAAAAAAAATTTGGCAGAAAGATGTAAGGAGCAATGAAGTCAGTAATATCATGGTGAGCAGAGCCTAAGGCACCAACACAAATCAATGGAAGGTATTTTTTCCCAGCAGTTTGTACCTGGGTTGAACCAGATTCAAGATTTCTAGAGTTTTGACTTGGTCATAGGCTTAGCCAAGTTGATTTTGAAGATGCGGGCCTGAGCTCCTGCTATGAACACTTACAGCTCATGTTTTGTTCTCCCTATTTTCATATTAGAACATAAAGGAGTCCACACAGAGCCAGGTAGTAAAAGGATGCTGACTCACTTCCAGTCATCTGTTACCATGAGTGGTGCAGATGGATGTGAGCATTCATTATCATTGTGTTCCCCAAGGAGTGCAGACAAGCAATCTCTTAAGTGATCTTACCGTGGGGGAGGCACAGGCTCCTGGGAAAGAGAGGAAACAAAAATCTCTGTCAGCTTTTTCCCTGTTTTACTAAGAGAAATGTAAAGAGGTAGATGAAGCAGACATGCCTGTGTCAACACTCAAAGGGTTTGTGTCAAAGGATATGTGCTCTGCAGCACATATTATCATAGTTCAATATGCCATGTTAAAATCACCAAGAGGTAAAAGGCATCCACATAACCCATGAATGTAAGTCAATGAGATAATGTAGGACTGCAGATATGAGTTCTCATATCCTTTAGATAGTGTTAGCAAAATTGCAGCCTGCTTTTAAAAACATATTAAATGGCAAATGATGAGATATTCTGCTTACCTGGGATCCATGTATTTTTATTTGTTCTCCTAAAAATAATTTTTAATAATTGTTAATAGTTTGCTACCCATATAATTCACAAATAAAGATATAGCTTTATTCTGGTTGTTAGAATGCCCGTAATAATAACAATAATAAATCCCCCAACCCTGATCTGGCTTTGTCTCCAGAACTCTGCTCCAAGGTCATGTTGCTGTTTCCACATCATTCATCCTACCTCTCACATCCTTATCTCCATAACTTTTCCTGCTACTTAGTGAGGAGCATTAATTTCTGTGAACCTAGAAGAAGCTGGAAGCTTTGAAGGTTAGCTAGGAGATTGTTACGTGTGGGAATGGAGGTGAGTCACAGCCTAGCCCTGAGACAGAGGTCACTGACGTGCCTGTTTTCTCTCTTAGCTGTTCTGTACATGAGGTCAATGGGCTCTGGATGAGGATTGTTACAAGTCAAGTAGATTTTGTGTGATCTGTACTGTGTTTAGTCTTTCCTAAGTATGGGCTCACAGACGGATTCAGGTCCATCTTATTTTCAACCATTTGTGTTTCTCTCCATATAAAACACAAAACTAAGTGTACTTAGATAATTATGGTGATCATAGAAATATAGAGAAACTACCTGTGATGTAGCAAATAAATCTTTTAGTATCACTCACAAATATTCATTTCATAAGAGACAGAAGAATCATCTAAAGCAGGAAAAAAACAGTTTTCTGTTGGTTTTTTTTTCTGCTTAAATTATAAAATAAATGCAATTAAAAAATGACCATGACACTTGATAAAATGGGGTAAACTTTGGTTTTACTCCTGTCTTTTGGAATGAAAAATTTGAGGGTGATATTTCTTTGGGTATTGTAAATTTAAATATTGTTCAAAGGCTTTATATATGCATCTTATCAAGCTTTTTGGGATGCATTTTCTTTGCCTGTTTTGATTTTTTTTTGCACAGAAATTTATAAAAATCTTGAAAAGCAGTGAAAGTAGATCTATTTGTTTTTGCAGTGAAATTTACCAAAATTGGCTGATTATTTAAATGAACACAGGACATCTTAATAATAAACCCCCCATCTTACTCTGTTTGCATTGGATTTAGATTCTGAAAATATTTTCATAAGTCCTATGTACTGAAATCCTAACTAACACAAGCAGGGATGCAATGTATCTTAAGTTCTTCTTCAAGTAAACAATAACAAACTGGCCTTAATAAAATAATGGTACCTTAAATGTTTAACAATTCTAGAAAATAACTTACAGAAATTCTTCTGTGCTGTTCATGCCATCTTGTGGCAAAGCCACTTAATAGCACAAATGTTGGCATACATTTAGAGTCACAGAATCGTAGAATAGGGTTGGAAAGGACCTTAAGATCATCAAGTTCCAACCCCTCTGCCGTGAGCAGGAGCACCTCGCACTAACCCACATCACCCAAGACTCCATCCAACCTGGCCTTCAATAATGGTGTAGTTATTATCTGAAAATACTAGTCTTCTATAAGCACTATTAGCTCAGGATGTACTAAAAATATGCGTAAGTTGTGTTCTCAAATGCAGAGTTTATTTTACCTGCTTGCACTGTCTGTGGCTCATCTTTCTTAATGCCAGCACACATCTCATGGAGATGTAGATCCAACCTAATAAATCCTGGTGGAATTTGAAGCTTTATCTAAACTGGCAAACTGTCACTGGGACCTTGCCAACCAATTTCTGCAGATTTTGAAGCTTAGTCAAATTTCTCTCAATTCGGCTTTTTTACAAACTACATCGGGATTTTCTCGCAAAAGTTAATCTGACCTTTCATTTTGCAAGCTTATAGTGCTTATTTTCTCATAACCTGTAAGAATTATTTGACTTTATATTAAAAGGAAAAAGGTAAATTCTGTTTTGCATGGAAATCTATGTGTTGTTTTTCTAGCTGATCAAGTATAATGTTACTCTCAGAAAATCAGACATTGTAGCAAACGTAGAAAAGATCGTATTTTCCTGGCTTGGCAGTTGCATTCCTTTTCACCATATTTAGCATGTGGTTCAAAGATTTGAAAATGATAAGAAAAAAATATAATTCCTTTTCAAGGTTAATCAGATATGTAAACCTTCAGTAGTTGGCTTTGTGAGATAGTTTTACATCTAAAGTATATTGAATAAAGAAAAGTTTATGGAAACCTAAATTTAAAATAATCTTATGATTGAGTAAAGCCATCAATTAAAGGATTTAATAGTTGGACACCTCATTAGATTCTTGAAGAGTAAGAGAGCAATCTGTCTCTAATATCACCACAAGAAATAAAAGAAACAAAAACTAAAGGTACAGTTGTGACTCAAAATTACAGGATTTTGAAGCAAATTTGCAGTTAAAAACAGTGGAGATAAAGTATAAGGTAGGTGATATACCACATAATTAGCGTATTCGTAGTAGGAGAGCATTGTCAGATAGCTTTTGTAAATAGTTACCCTAGGATGTAAATGTTTAATAGGAATTGCTAAAGGTGATATTACTATTTAAAAATAATTATTAGATTATGCTTTACAATGTGTTCATACAAAATGCCTGAGAAGGATAAGGAGCCAAAACCCATGAGATCAGGAGAAGTAAAGCTTAGCAGGGATGTTGCAGTCTTTTGGTGGAACAGTTCAGGAGACATAGGCTTCCCCTGCACCTCCCCATTATGTCTTTATGACTGTGGGGAAAAGGAAAACCGGATTATTAAATTGAATGTCTTATTTTCTCCCCCTTAAGGAATAGGGAGCTCATAAGATAAATCTGTCTCCTTTTGCAAATAATTTGATGTCCGATAGCTGAAACAGTACTGTGAAAATTGCAGTATGATTATTCTGGAAAGCAGCTGCTGTTCTGAAAACCATGCCTAGTATATCATCTGCAATCTCTGCTTATGTAGATAAGCTAAATATGGAAGCAACAGTTTCTATTTCTGATTGAAGAAATGGGTCGATTTTTTTGTTATACCTTTAAAACTTGGTGTGCTCCTCCCCTCCAGAACAGATGTGTGTTTCTGTTAATAGAACAAAATAAAGATATGTTGTTAGTCATCGTCCTTGAAACTATGGCTGGTGGAAATGGCACAGCTCCTGACTGGGATGCCCTTAATACTTGGTAGATCCCTAGCAGTCAAAAAATGAAAGCAAGTGGTGAGGATCTTGGTGCAAAGTGAAACAGGAACAGCTCACAGGAACTTGTGTGACCTTGTACAAACGCATGTTATGTGGCTAAGACTGTAAACAGACTGCACATAACTTTAAATGATAGTACAGAAAATCAAAGTCTATTTGTGAATAGGGCTTAAGATCTTTACTTACAGCTGAGGACTGAAGGGTCTGAGATGTGTGCTGAGTGTTCCCTGGGGAAGTCGTACCTGAAGGCCTTAAACAACGTTTATCTGTAAAAAGAGGAAGAAAAACCAAGTAATTGCATTACTGAGTAATTCAGTAACACAACACTTTAAGAAGAGGTTTTAATGTTCAAAATAGGTTTTTCAGGTCAGATCTTGCCATTTTTATTGCTTTTTAATCTTTTTCTTCTCAGAAATGAACTGTTACTTTATTGTATTGAGGACATAAGCATGACCCTGGGAAAAGCTTCATGGTTAACCTCCTTATTGTGGTTAAAAAAAAAAGTCTTCATAAGCTGGTAGACAGTTAAGGCAGACATTTGACCTAAATTGTGAATAGGTTAGTGAATTTGTTTTTCATTTGAAACTTTGTTCTTGGTAATGCCATTGTGGTGTTCTGGTTTTGCAAGGGGTGTGTGTGTGGAGCTTACTCTCTAGAGAGCTTTTCAATTTTCAGTTTGTCTTTTAATGAATACTGCACCCATGGCCATCTAAAAGAAATGCGTAGGTTGCACATGAGCATGGCGTTTTGAATCATTAATTTTGTATGTGAAGTGTACCATTATCTGTCTAGGAAAGATGGCGAATGGGACATTAGCACTGAGTTTTGCCTTTCTGAAATACATTCTCAGAATTTTCCTCACTCTTGTATCCTGCCACATTATAGTTACAGGGCATAATACACAGGCAAAATAGAGTTTTTTTATTAATGTGTTTTCTTTGAAATCACAAAACAAAAATGGTGCCCTTTTGGTATTTCAGGACAGTCTTACATAAGCAACGTAAGGTGCTGACTGAAAGTCTTTTCTACTAACCAAAATAAAACCAGCATTTTGAATTTACTTCCGATTTCCCAATAAAAGATGCAAATGAGCGCGTGGAACATAATGGAGAATATCTGGATGTGCAGATTGATTGTGATCTGCTCACACATGGATAAATGTTCTCATGTTAAAATTGGCCTATTTGCTTTAAGTATCAGACTCCCACAAAAATATTTGCTGACTCTGATGTGAACTGGAGCAAGCTTTCATACATATATTGATCCTGGATTTCCCCCCAGTTATTGAATGATTTAATACCTCCACAGAGTGTTTATAATGGCTTTGAGCATGGATAGTGAGGATGATATTTCACTTCCATAAATGGAATATTAATTGTCTATGTATGTTTGGGCATTAAATGTGACTTAGAATGGCTTTAGTAAACCCAAACTTGATTAATGCAGCTATCCTGCAAGGCTAAGAACTCCTGAGAAATACACTCCAAGTAATTGCTTATTGTCACTTGAAAGTGGCAGAGAAAGCGTTTAAAAAGAATACTACGTTTTCTCATCTGCAAATTATCATCTGGAGGGAAGTTTCATTAATACATTTTCCATCCTGGTTTTCTAGGTTTAAATAGCAGTGAGCTTTTCTGAAATGGTTGTGGTTTAAACAGTCATTATTTTGCACATTCCAGGTGGAATGGGATCTTAGAATTTCTCCTGCAAAGGTAATACTAAAATCACAAAAGCAAGGTGCCATACAAAGAATATTCTTGCTGCATTTCACCAGTTGTCGTGAAAAATCAGTAAAAGAGGGTGACAAATGGGGTCATCTGCAAGATGTAGCTGTAATGAACAGATCTGCTTGGCAGTCTGATGGAAAATCAGACTGCTGAAAGAGGGTAGACATAGGTTTAGATTAGATATTAGGAAATAATTCTTCATTGTGAGGGCGGTGAGACACTGGCACAGGGTGCCTTGAGAAGCTGTGGCTGCCCCATCTCTGGCAGTGTCCAAGGCCAGGCTTGACAGGGCTTTGAGCAACCTGATCTATTGGAAGGTGTCCCTGCCCATGGCAGGGGGGTTGGAACTGGATGAGCTTTAAGGTCCTTTCCAGGCCAAACCATTCTGTGATTCTGTGATTATGTGATTATGTAATTATTAATTTAACGTAATCTAATGGAGATAAGGGTAACTGTTGAATATGAAGATGCAGATAAAGCCTTTCTCTTCCTGCCCACCACAGTTTGCTTGTTTGTGAAAGATCCATTCGTTGGTTCGTTGAATCATTTAATTAAAAAAAATACCCAGACTGAACCCCCCAAAACTGTACTGTTCCTGTTTACCTCCAGGTTTGTCTCACTTCCTGCAGACAGCAAGAATTACCTGCATATTCAGATTCTTGTAGAGGTTTGGCAGGAAGGATTTTCAAAGCATGGATGGCCTCCAGAGTGGAGGAACTTACAGTCTCATAATCACCCTCTTCTTCCTCAGATACCTTGGAGGAAGATTGTAAGTCATTTTTGCCCTTGATTTTCAAATCTTCATTCTGTATAGAAAAAGAGATATGCAGATAATACAAATAAATTTAAGTTAAAACTTAATTTCAGGTTTGGAAATGCTTGATTACCAGAACCAGAGTGGGGTTTTTTTTGTGCAGAGAAATTGAAGGGATGAAAAGTAGTTGAGCAAGGATATTGAGGATCTAAATTTTTGATTTAGGTTAATAAAATACCCATTCGGGAGACAGTTCTCGGAATTTGGCTTGTCACCACACTTAAAATATAAGAAGAGTGTTTAATTTTATGATCATTGCAGACATTTGAAACTGTGCCTTTCATTATAGTATTATCCATGTGGTATTTATATTGTACTGACTGTTTACATATGTTACTTGCAAGAACGTATTAACTAGCTCATCAAAAATGTCACACTTTAAAGTAAAAACATGCACTGTTTTGGGGAATTTTTGCTAGCAACTGTGCAGTCCAAGTGAACATGATAGCAAGTGGAGCCCTCAGAAATGTGGTGCTGAGAGTGTCTCAGGATGTCTCTGGATGTTTCTGTACACTTATACTAGATTTAGTCAAGATTATTTTATGGAGTCCTGCTCCACCCTTCATACTCACTGTTTACACACTGGAGCGTAACTGCTGGCTTCTTTCAGGAGGAGACATGCACACAGAGGACAGAGCTGAGATTACTCATGAGTGAATTCAGCTGAGGGGCCCCAATGTCTCTGTGAGTCATATTTTGCTACCAGAGACTGTGTGGCTGCATCCACACACTTGGGTCTTCCATGATTGTTTTAAGCTCTTTTTGAAGTCACTAGCAATGGGGAATCAATAGCTTCCTGAGGTTTCTTCCACCAGCTAACTGTCCTTTCAGTTCATGTTTTTTCTTGAGTGCTAAAAATTAAAGCAATTTGTTTTATGCTCAAAGGGCACACACAAAAAATACTCCTATCCACCTTGTTTCAACCTTTATTATCCTTAATGCCTATAATTATGTTTCCTTTTAGTCTTCTCAGTAGGCAAGTAGAAATGTTAAAAGCTTTCCCAAGTTATCAACCAATTGAAAAGATTTTAAACCTCCTATCCCCAGTGTTATTTTCCTGTGAACTCTCTGCAAGTTGTATGCATCTTTAATGCAACATCAGGCAGACCTCCAAGAAGTGCTCTTGACAGTCCATTTCAGGGTGAGGTTTGCCTTTTTATAACAGTACTTAAAAAACCCTCACCACAGCCTAGACAGACCCCTGCAGCACACCTGGGTTTGCAGACTCTGCTGCTGTATGACTTTCCAGTTCAGTAGCAGACTGAACTAGGTTCAGCTAGGCTGAACTGTGCAAACACTTCACACATTTTCATCTAGACCAGGTTTCCAGGTTTGTACTTGTGACACTGTCTCCTGGAAATTGTCAAAGACTGAAGAAAAATCAAGATATGTCTTTTCTACCATCTTCTTTCTTCCCATTATGGTCATATTTCTGTTAAGAAGGAAATTACTTTGGTTTGAGGAGTCGATGTGATGTTCTTTATGTTCACATTACAAATTTTTTACATAATCAGATTTATTATTTCTAAAAGATGCTTTCAGACTGACTTTGTTTAACAGTCTCTTCAGGTACCCAAGGAACCTCAGGATTTGCTTTCATTCTTGTAGGAAATTAAGTTTGCCACTGTTCTTTTCCATTGCTTTAGGAACTCAGGACTCCTTGGAGAGTGTGCAAAGATAATCAATTAATGTCTCAGAAATTACTGCAAATAGTTCCTTAAGTGCTTAAGCATAAGTAAATATTCTCCTAGCTGTTCCTTCCCTATTCTGCTCCATGCTATTACTGCTTCCTATTTGATATTAATCCCATACAATGTCAGACTGTAATTAACCTTTCCTGAAACCTGAAGCAGCCAACGTATTGATTTCATCAACCTTCTGTAGTCATCCTTTACTTGTTCAACTTGCTTATTAAGCAGTGGACCTGTGCTTTCTTTTCATCTTTCTGACTTGTAATGTGTTTGCAGTCTTTTCTTATGTGCTTGAGCTGAAACTCAAAACCAGCTTTCAGATACAAATGGGAAGACATTGAAATGTGTACTGTTAGCTTTTCAGCTTTCATTTGCACTGGTTTCACATTAAACCTTAAGTTTTATGACTTACATACTTTTTCCAAATCGAATCCTGTTATTTTCACATGATCTTATGATAAAGGTGTATTTTAGATTCAGACCATAAGTATAGAATTGACAAGTGAGTGAGTCACTTCTCAAATCTGGCTCCCATTGAAACAAAGTAAAGGTTCTCATACATACTTCAAAATTCTCATGCATTATCTTGCATTAAAAAAGAGGATTACATTGTCTGTTACCGGTGTTACAGCCAAGACAGTATTAACACACACCAAGGAGTGAAAATAAAAGTAAAATTTTAGGAAGAACAGGGTGATACTTACAAAATTATAGGTATTAGCAGGAATAGTTCTTTTGTTTTCTGTATGAAATGGAGAAAAAATGTCAGCAGGTTTCATTCTGTAGAAAATGATACAATAACCAATAATGTATATAAAGGAGTAATAATCTTCCAACTGCACAGTATTTTACAAATTCTAAAATCAAGGAGAAAGCAAATCCAGCCATGAATTTGTTGACAAATGCCATGCATGAGGAACTAGCTGTGTGGAAATGGGATTCACAACCACTAGCATGTCTAAGCCCACCCACAGAAAGTACCCAGAGAAGGATATGCTTGAGCTCCTCTCTCTCTTCTGAGATTTGTTCCTTGGTGCACATCTCAGAAGAGTGGTAAGGCCTCACCCCAGTTAGCCTGGGGATCCTGGTCTGGAAATCTCACTTCTGCATAGAAACATTCTTGTTCCCTTAGGGGCAGAAGAAAATCTGATCTTCTGCTTTCAAGACTGAACTGGAAAATAAGTTGTGCTGGTGTCTTCTCTTTAGTAGCACAGCATTTGGCCAGGAAATTGGAGTCCTGGTTTCAGCTTGAGAAGCTCTAAATTCACATTGTCCAAAACTGAGAACATTCCAGCTGCCAGGTAGTGGCCATCAGCCCATGGAAGTTGTTTCGTGGTATAGCCAGGAGAGCATGAGTTACGGGGCCAAATCGCTGGTGAACAGGAGAGTGAGTTCACTTGAGTAGAGGCTGCCAAGTTCTGCCCTTAATCTGATTTACACGTTTAATCTAGTGACTGTTTAATGCAAAACAGCCATGGTATGTCCTTGCCCAGTATGTGCTCTTGTTCTGCACTGTTGAAGCAGTCCTTGCTTAGGCTACCTGTGGTTTCACAAATCTTGCATCTATGGCTACATAATAGCCTGATTTTAGACATAGAGCATGAAAGTGTTTCTCTTAAGCCTAACCTATAATATATAATTACAGCATGCTCTAATGCTTAGGAGGAAGGGAGAGTTGTTGACTTAAATGCTTTTGTGGCAAGGAGGGAGTTAAAACCAAACCCATATTTGGCCCAGGTGTTATACCCTGTATTGAAGAGTGAGAAGGATGGGTAGCAACCCTCCCTTCCAGCTGTGAAAGAGGCCAGTCTTTACCAGAGCAGCCTCTTTACATTTGTCACTGTTGTACTTTTAAGTTATGGATACTGCATGAGCCTGGTATTGCAGAGTATTGTGTACCCCAGCAGATGGCATTGAATGTTCATTTATTCCATATGCAGAGTACTTTATTGCTGGAGGGTCATCCACGGGGGGAGAGGAGGGAGAATTATTTGTGCAAACTAGTTGTCTGATTTTCTGTTTAGTTACGCTTGTGCAAATCAGAAGTAAGCCCAGTTAAATCAGTGACTTCACTGAGGAAAACTGGTGCAGACGAGGATAACTTGCTGGTACCAACATAATAATGGAAAAGGCAGTCAGTGTCTTAAATGCATTGTTATTCTCTCTTCAACAGTAAGAAATGAGTAACAGTGGTAAATATAAAAGTTTCTAGGCATTTATTTCATGGCTTAATCTAAAAGAGACTGTTTGACACAAGCCTTTAGGGTGATCTATTACTGTCCAGCATCAGTTTACACTTTGATGTCCAGGTTAGTATATAATCTATTCTGTTATGCAGGAATCACCATGGTTTGGAGGAACTCCAGCCCTCTCTCTCTCCCTTTCTTCTAACTCCTCCTATGCACAGTGCAAATGAAGGAGAGGCAGCATTGCTGCTCTACTGTGGGTATTCCCTTTACATAAGACAAATGCCCACATATTTGCTCTGTGCTAGCTGAGGTGTGCAAACCATCTAGAACCTGCTCCTCCTCTTATTTAAGGATGACATTTTGGTAGTGAAGATGAAAATTTCACTGTCAGCTACACTGTACATGTCGGCCTTCAGAATGAGAAGCACTGCATGTCACCTGGGTAAAGGAAGACTGTTGAAGAGTCTCACCCCTGGAACATCCAATTTATCATAGAATCATAGAATTGTTTGGGTTGGTTGGAAGGTCATCTATTGAACCCCCCCCTGCAATGAGTAGGGACATCTTCAAATTTCCTGGCTTCTGGTGAACTGGCTGTTACACAGGGGTGAAAGAGGACAGAATCTTTGTACCAGGTATTTGCCATCAGCTGGACCTTCTGGCATCAATGTTTTTTCACTGCAAGCTGAAGTCTTAGAGCTGGCAGGAGTCAGTCTCCACAAGCAATAGGGATTAATCATATTTTATTCAGTCTGAAAATATTTTTTTGCTTTGCTACAGTCTTCTGTGAAATTAATAGAGTGTATCAGTTACAAAAATAGGGAGGCATTGGGTGTATTTCTGCCAGCTGAGAGAAAATGCCTGATGTCAAAGGACAAAAGAGAATTAGTTTGTCTTTAATTTGCAAGGGAATAAAATGGTGTGCATTTTGTGGCAACCTTTCCTGCTTTTCATAGTGATCTTAAAAAAGTCTGTTCCAAAGGGTGACAGGTTAGCAATCTGTACATTAAAACCCAGTGTCAGAAACAGCCCTTCTTTAAATGAGAAAGCAGAAGGTAAATCTGTTCCCATAGACTTCCATGAGTCATGAACACACTGTTTTTTTAGTCACCGTATTGTTTTAGCCAGTGTCAGAAAGCGGTATTGTGGGTTGTATTTTAATAAACCTTGTGATCCTGACAGGGTGTCTCCCAACCACTTCAGGAGAGAAAAATGAGGCTGGAAATGCTGCAAGGAAGAACCTGCATAGGAGTTTTCAGAGTCACTGTTTTTCTGCCTGGTCCAAAAGTATGGCATAAAACCTTGTCCTGTTAAGTATATGGGCATCTTCCTCTAGCCTCTGGAGGGGTTAGGTAAAACAAGTAGAAGCTTCTGGAATTGCATAGGTTTAATTCCAGGACCAAGCAGAAGGCTAGGCAGGCTGTGAAAAAGGTATGCGAATAAATGCCAGTTATGGTGAGCTTTTGTGATAGGGCCAGCTATCCACAGAGGATAAAAGGTTTGCAACAGGGTGATAAGCTGCTGGTATTTTTTCCAGAACTGCTTTTCCAGCCCTAGATCTAAATTTTCTGTATTGTTTAGTACCGAATGCACTTAAGGAAACTTCACATAACACAATAAAGATACGGTATACTGAATACATTCATCTGGCAAGTTGCACCCCTGTTTAGTTAGATAATTTTATATGCTTTGCATTAAATATCTCTTAGCTAGAGTTGTGAAATTGGTGTCATTTTCCACTGATTTAAATAGGAGCAGTGTTTTACTTTTGAAATCAATGCAATTAAACACTTGCTTACTGCTGATGATAATCTGTCATGGAATCAGATTTTGAGATCCTGTATAATTGTCACATTGTTTTTAAACATAAAAAAAAAGGGGGGGAGTTTTTCATGACTGGCAGCAGAGGAAAAAGGGAAGTTCCCTCAGTTGCTTTCTTGAAGTTATCAATCAAATTAATGTTTTCCAACAAGAGGATGACTTTTTGCAGTACTTTGGAAGGAAACACCTTTTTGCTTTCTTCATTAGTGGCTATGCAATTTCCACTTAGTGGGTATCCATGTCTTTTCTTTTTTCCGTACAATTAATTCTAGCTTTTATGGTTATACAGTGTTCTGATCTGTTCGCACCTACATCTTACAAACTATCACTGACTCCAAGTCATAAATATGGTAAAAAGACCCAATATAGTACTTCTATTTTCAGTAGTGAAAGAATTTTACCTTTTGGATGTATGTCCAAATTCATTGCTGCACATATGTTTGAGCAAGATCTATAGACAAAAAACAAAAACAAAAAAAAGCCCAATCCATTTAAATATTAGAAATATCCACTGTTCGATGGAACGTCTTGAAGAGTCAAGCTTAACAGAACGAGTAAAAGCTACAAGGATAATAATAAAATCTGAAAAATGAGTTGGCAGATTTAGAAATTCAACAATCTTGGGTCAAGCCTTACATTTCTGTTTACTTGTAGCTCCAAGTTTGATGCAGTTACAGAGAGCTCTGCTCATTTTACAAACATTCATTTTAGACATAAA